AAAGAAGCTGTTTTTTGATTATGGGTCATATGTCATTTCGAAGAGTCTATAGCTTTTTCCTGAAAGTATCTCCTAGTGACTAAGAAAAAAGAGTTGCTTTATAATGGGAAGTGCCCAAATTTCTCCTTTGTTCCAAATTAAACGCGAGGAGAGTTGATGTTCGCGAATTTTCAGGTTGAAAATTAGGCTTTTTTGAGTCTCCGACACGAAAACTGCTATTGACTCGTACTTTCCTCCAAAATAAAACATGCCTTTCGGCGAAAACAATCTCCATCAAACCGCTTATTTACGTAAAGGCTATCTATGGACAAAAAACCTGAAAGAAATCGATTTTTCATTCTTTAATTGCCACCTGCTCAATACTCGATATTTCTTGACTACCGGGTCGCTCTTAAGTTAGGAAATCAATTAAGATTCTGTGAATGCAGGAAATGAAAAACCGTTTGAGTGACAAGAATGGTACAGTATTTGAGCCTGGTTAGATATCATAGCTTCCTTTGGTGAAGTTTTCATTTTAGCCAAGAGTTGATTTAACTATTTGTCGATTATTTTATTAACGCTCAACTTACCACTGGAACTTTAAGGTTGCTTTTATTTCTGATGTTCCATCTACCTTTTTCTATCGCAAAATGAGTACACTTGTTCAACAACGCATTCGTCTAAAACATGACTCAAGAAATACTTCATGCCGTGTTTGTGATGAAATCTTTAGGAAAACAAAAACGGTTTTATTTTTTGTAACTAATGAGGGATACCTGTGGGATATTCAAATTAAATGCGTTTCTGATCACTTCACGATTAAATCAGGGGCACCCAACGACCGAATATTTCCAAATACGACAGAAATGTGCCCGTGATTACCAAATTAGAAATTGAGACAGGTGTAACAAAGTGATTATTACAAATTGCGACAGCACAAACGCCTCCTATCTATTAAACACCCCCGCCTGGGCTTCTAAAACATAGATCCTTTGCAGCTACAGTCAGCTCCCTTTATTGTGGACACTGTAGGGACCTCAAATTAGTGCCATCATCATTTAACCGCGGCAGGATTAGCTCAGTCGGTAGAGCGTTTGACTGCAGAACGGGAGGTCGCGGGTTCGATTCCCGGGACCGGACCATTACTCAGGCTCTTAAAATGACTGAGAAATGAAGGTACTTCCTTTGCACTGCAAGCGGCGAGACCTTTGCGTGGCGTGGATGACCAAGTAAAATGGCGGTCCCGTCTCCATTAGGAGACGTGAAAATAGTTTTTTTTAGCGAGAGTCCGTATTGTCAGGGTGTCCATTATAGCGGGGTGTCCGCAAGGCGAGATCGCAAGAACGTAAATACACCAAAATTTCAATTCCTAGCATCGAAATTTGATATTAAGCAGCATTCTGACGATACTTAAGAGTAATTTGAGTCATTTATAACGTTTTTATTAAAAAATTTATCACGGCTATTGAAAATTTAAGGTTTAAAATATATTTTGGTTTAGACGAATTCAAACATACAGAATTTTTTACTTCTTAAGGAGGTTATTTGCTAAACACCAAACTTTAATTATAAGTTTCTAGTGTTGGATTTTCAGTGACTGGTCTAGATCGCACAAAATTCGGCTTTTATCATTTTCAAAGTTTTTTGTTTATTGTTGTCATAGTAAAATTGATTTTACTTAAAACTACATTTTCACATAGTAATATTGATTTTACTTAAGACCACATTTTCACAAATTTCAATCCATAGCCAATTACTGGTGAAAATTTTGTAGTGATCGGACAAGGAAAAAACTACTTTTAAGGCGATCGAAAAATATCTGTATGGCCTCTGTGAAAAACTGTGTCGAAGCATCTTACAGTGTGAACGCTCAACTTACCACTGGGGAAATATGAATGATGTTGCCTTTTAGTAATCTTGCTTTCGAGATGTTTCATCTACCCTTTTCTTACACAAATTGAAATAAACTTTTTCAACGACTGTCTAAAAACTCAAGCAACTGAAGATCAATTATTAATAGGATAATAACCGATTGTTTATTTCCGAAAAATAGATTACCCCCAAAACGGTTGGTAATTAAGAACAGTTTAGCGTAAGGTGGCTGAACACAGTTTAATTAACTATAAATGCTTTTTAATTATCCGTTCACTGATAATCATCTTTATCATGAGGAAATATGCAGCAAACGATAATGAGCCTTAAAAGAAACAAGAGCGAGGAAAATTTAAGAAATACTCTGTTTTCGTCGCCTTTGATCTCAGCTGGTAAACAAGACTGTGAGGGCGTACGTAGGGAGCAATCAGTGAGAGCGCTTGTTTTGTTGACTTTTATACCAGGCGAGGTAAACAGGCGACAATATCATAAAATCTACTCATTAAAATTTGACGAAATATGGCAGAAATATCGCACTTCAGTCAATGAAAGTCTGAAAATAATTAAAAGTTGACTAATGGAGTTTTGTGACAAAGTCAAGTTTCTTATTAGTCTTAAAATTTTCAAAACAAAAGTTAAGGGTTTTGTTACAATTTGGCTAAGATGTTTTTAAATGATGAGTGTTAATAATTCTAAGTTGTGCAAATTTATAATGAAAACTGATCAGATGACAAGATTCTGCCTAAGCCTGATAACATAAATTTAAAATTTTAGGCTTGTTTTAAATCATCCAGGCTCCCGTAGCATCGATAGAAACCCTACGTTTAACCTAAAAAATGTTATGTCTCATAAATGAAATTATTTTGTCTGTGCCAAATCTGAGCTTTACATCTTCAACGACTATTGAATAACACGACTGAATGGCAACTTTTCACTACCTATCAAACTGTGTTCAGCCACCTTATAAAACTAGTAAAGGTGGTAAAAAATAAGTTTGTAGAAAAAATTGCGAATCATTTTTCGAGCACAGTACGGCCCCACCAAACTTTGACCATCCATTTTGAAACGATGTGACTTATAGTGACGAGTACGTGCTGTATGCGGATTTACTCCCTGTATTCGATGGAATCCATAGAAACACAATGACGGTTATTCCGTCAGTAATCTGTAATCCGAAAAAAAACTCCAAAAATCGTCAGCAAGTTTAGTAGAAAAACTCCAAATACCTTTGACGAATGGAAAGCTTATCTCGAAATAATTATAAATTTTTAAAGCTTTTCTCTAATTTCAGACTTATTTGTTGTTTATATTTGATCCTTCGCACAGTTTCCAAAAAAAGTCGTTGGGTGCCCCCAATAAATATAATGGAAATACAACGGAGCTCAGGTTATTTAGGTTAAAGAACCGATTAAGAATTTAATCTATTCCCTGGCATAGAAAATATAAGCGCCAACATATTCAACAATATTTTGGTTTTCTTTTTCATTCTATCGTATTCACGTAGATGATTTTTTTATTGTGGCTTTGAACGCTATGTATTAATTCGTTTCCTCCTTCTCAAGGTCATTAATCACGAAGAGAAAACTGAATTAAAAACAGACCGAGTATCTTGTTTCATATGTTTCAGATATGGTTTTAATTCAAGAACAAGTGTCTTTTCTTCTAAATTGTAGATAGTAAATATCTCGTTATCCACTCCTCTCTGAGGGTCTTTCATGGATAAATACAACACTGGTGGGGAGACATTTGCCAGACTGCTTATGGTGCTGTTTACAAGTAAGAAAAAGATGAGTAATGATGCCTTCTAGGTGAGAGTGAATTTGAGATTGACCTTCACATTGGGGAATACGTCCCCTACTCTCTTTACGAACAGTGTGTGGGCTGTTTAACAACGTTTAACGTCCCTCGATTTGAATTAGACACGCCCCGTACTAAAAGCCCCATGTTAATTAGACGCCCCGCCTAATAAACTTCTCCAAAATATTAGGAATAGAGAAATAGAGAAAAATAATTATTCAATTCATTCTGAGTTTCTTGCTACCCTCGCTCCAGAGGTCCGCTCTCGAAATACCTCTAGGATGAAAATAATGAACCATCACCTCGTTTTGATAAAGCTCCCGCGAACTATTAGAAATTAGGAAAGAAAAAAAACCGTCTGGCACCAAGGGTAGTTTCCTGCTTGATTATAACAAAAAATTGTAGGATGATGACATCAAAGTTAAGCTTTGAAAATGGGACGAACCAGACCCCCTTTATTGATGTTAGCATCAAACAGATTGCTACAGATTACGCTGTAATGTGCTATGAACTTAAACGCGATGCCTGCTGCCCGTCGGGAAAAACCCGCTAATAGGAGGGAACCTGATCCCTCCCGAACGCAGCGCCAGGCACTCGACACTTTGAGGGAGAAAGGCCCCTAAACTAAGAATAACTTGAATTGTTACATGCAGCAAAAAAAAATCGCCAAAATATAGACAACAAAAGCGAAGTTAGTGAGCAAAGGCAGCAACGCCAGTCTAGTTCAGTGCTGATCATGAACTCCTGTTCAAACTGGCCTCTAGCCAAGATGCTTTGTCATCATGACTACCCTCTTCCTACCAGATCCCACTCCAAAAGGTGGTAGCTTCAGTGGGTTCAGTTAACTCTGTTTCACCTCGTTCTTATCCATCTAGCGGTTAATCCATAAAACAGCCCCTGGTAAGTTCGAAAACAGTTGATTCATGGACTACTGACATCTCTATGATCTCTCGTCATATCCTCATTCCACCCGCCCTAATTTTCTGTTTCTGCACAGCTGGAACATAGTACACAGTACCCCTTTCATCGAGGCGATATTTTCTGTTCAACTTTTCCCTGTCTCTTTGTTATTATTATTATTATTATTATTGATTATTGTTATTCTTTTGAATGCCACCTTTTATGCATTCTTATTTTTTTAAATTCAAGACATTTATTACTCTACTTACAAAGAACTAATTACAAAGAAACTAATTACAAAATTCTAAACAACCATAATAACAGAACGAGAGAAAAAGGGAAAAGTATTGCATTCTGATTCAGTCTGTACTACAGGATATGCTGATGCGAAGACACCTTAGTGGATCAGCTAATATTGGCTCACAGTTACCAAAGTATGAATGACACTACTGTCAGTTATGGTCAGCACAGCCATACAGCTCAACTCGCATGGATATATGCTCATTCCACGTTAACACAACAAATCGCACGTATCTGGCCCGGAACTTTGCAGCATGTGACACGATTGTGTTTCGGTCAGTATTTCCAGTGAAAACCTGCAAAGAGAATAAAATAATACATTCGGCGAAAACATTCACTCGTAACCAGTGCTTTACTGATAGTTAAATTTAAATAATTGTTTAAGTGTAAGGTGCATCGCACAGAAACCTCTTTATTGCGCTCACTGGAGGTAAAGTCAAGTGGCTGTTATGGTGGGGGAGAGGTTGGTGTTGTCTGGTCAGCGCGTTGGACTCGATCCCAATCTGGCAGTCCGGGGTTCAAGTCCCGCTCTGGCCACTTGTTGGATTTGTTCTTGGTTGTCTCTAGTTCAATTCCTCGGCCACGCTTGTAGCCAACTGGTTGCCTCCCACCAGTTGGGGTTTTTAATCCTTCGCTGTTTGGATTATTTGTTTCTAATTATTTAAGTAGGGGGCCTGTAAGCTAGCTTGATGAGCTAAGTGTACTTTTCACTATAACCATACCTTTAGCTTTTTAACCTTTCAACTGATTTTGGTGGAAAGAGATAGGAAATCTTTATTTAAAATTCATATTCTGATTAATAAATGTATAACACAATCATACAAACTCAAAAACTGCAATAGAACAGAAACGAAATGTTTTAACATTTTAATATTCTGAAGGATTAAAAGAAATTGGCGATAGCAGGTGGCGATGGCCTTTCCTCGTATGTGAAAGATTCCTCTTGAATAAAAAAAGTAAAACAGCATCGCATACCTTCACAAAATCATTTTCCTTGTATTCCTCCCATTTATAGTTGTGTGAACTAAACAAAATGTTGTATGACGTCACCCATTGAGACCACTCTGGGGAAGGCCTCCCCTGCGTAGCGAGTTTTGTCACCAGCCTCTCCTCCCCGAGATCAATTTGTAGCCACTGGCCAGCTTCATTCAATGCCGCTGACCAGGAGCCCCAGAACATGCCATTAATTGGAACATTATTTAGACGAGCTAGCCAAGGGTGGTGCCCAGGGTCCGGCCATACCGAGGAAGCTGTGATGGCTGAATCCGGCAAAAGGTTATTTTCCATTCCAAGTGCATGAATACTACATTCTGTTAAGTGATCCGAAGAGAAATACAACATTATTTGCAAACATTAGATCAGCAAATTATATAAATAAGTTTAACTCCGTTGTGAAACCCTTTCTTAAATAAGGTTTAGTATTTGTTCTCGTTAGTGCGAACAGCTCGATTGAACTCGATACGGGAGTCAAATTTGCGTCGGAAAAACGAAAAAGAGATGAAGCGAATACGTTGGATAAATGGTATTTCTTTTTGCCATTAAGTCAATAAAATACCGGCAAAAACTACTTGGCCATGACCAAGAGCCATAATGGCTCTTGCCATGACCCAATTTGTGTTTCGAAGTGTTGCATCATAAGAGTGATGAAGAGCAACTGTGGCGCAGTGTTAGCTCTCTCCTTTACTCCAAGAGGTTTCTCTACGGTTACTCTGGTTTTACCCTCTCCTTAAAAACCAACACTTCCAACAAATTCCAGTTCGATCTGGAACGCACGGACACGTTTCAACGAGCTCTTAATTAATAAGAACTCCTAACTTCTCCGTGGGTAAACAAATTACAAATTTTGAAAAAAAAATGACAAGGCTCTTTATGTATACTTTGGGCGTGTATCACTAAAGCTCACCTATGCACTTCGATAGAAAACAAATCAAATTTTTGCCACATTCTGAGTCTTTTTTACAGGTGAGAGGTCTTAGAGTATTCTCCATGTAGTTTGTAAATGGAACTTGTCTCATATCTTCAGGGTGGGAAGCGTGCGTTTTATCATTCAGCTCACACCATCTGCTCTTCCGGTAAAAGTTGCTGCTATGGCAACCGGGATGTTCTATGCACCGAGAGATACAGTGTTCAATCAGCTCTGCAGGCCCGGCTTTGACGGCGTGGTTTATAAGCATGTGATCTTGTACGGAGTAAGATGCTGCCTTACATTGATTTGCAGTAGTTATCTTGGAAAGCCAGCAAGTGAGCGTGTACAGAAAGATACCGGTGAAATTCATTTCTGTCAGTAAAAAAGTAGTTAATTAATTAGTAATTACAAACTTTTTGAATAACTTACTCTATAGACGAATCTTTACTGACGCCATGTTTACATTTCTGTTAATTATATAGCATATGCGACCAAGAGCGATTATTGTCTTGATGCGCCCCCATGGAGGGCGTCTCCGTATATAATTATGCTCAATTCCCCGCAACACCTACCAATCATTTCATCGAGCACTTCATGCCCAGTTTCAATTCGCAAAAAAAAAAAGAAATAAAATAAGATGACCGTGAGGTTGAATAAGGAGGGAAAAAATTCGCGAATCAGTGACTTTTTCGGACACTTTGGCCTGGGGGGCAACCCCCCCCCCCCCTCCCAGGGTACTTTGGTCAGTGTAATAAGATGAAGTGCAGTTGTGAAGCACTTGAAAGGCAACTGAGAAAAAAATGATAGGCCCGAAGCCCGGCGGACCAAACCTTTTTTGAGACAGTTGAACTACTAAGGAGAGACAAAAATAAATAAGGGACTGGTCAAAAAGTATAGGGGGGGTGGGCCGGAGCAGAGAGGGGGTGGGTCATGAGGTTTTGAGCCTTGTGCAAGGGGTGGGTCGTGCAATTTTCAGCTACTCTTAGGGGGTGGGTCATTCTATTTTATTACATAGATAGGCACTAACTACTAACGAGACAGTTGACTACACTTGTTATATAAAACACAGCCAGCTGGAATTATTGCTGAAATACTCGCAAACCTCTTGTGCGAGAAAGTACAAAAGGGTGACAGGCCGCACATCTATACGGGAGTGGAACCCTTAACCTTTTTTTTTTTTGGCTCTTACGAGCATGGCCTTTAATGATTTTCCTTTTTTGTAAGGAAATGATTGGTGGCTCTTTAAAAATTTATTGAGGTTACAGTTGGTTTTGTATAAGATTCCATTTTTTCCTTCAAGCTTCCTTTGTAGTAGACAATGAGGGCTGGTATTGTGTCACGAATGGCAATATTTCTTTTTCCTCCTTGTTGTTTTGTTTTAGGAGTTTAGACTCCCTTTCGTGAATTTTATTTCTGATAGTATGTTTTCTATCAAAGATTGTGGGTAGCCTCCGTCCATCAAGCGTTGTTTTTTAAATTTGAATTATTTTCCTCAAAAGTTATTTCTGAGAAGTTTTTTCGTAGGATTCTCAAGGCTCCTTTTTTAACATTTGGAGGGTGACACGAGGTGAAATGTGTGTGCAAGAAGGTTTGCTTTTGTTAAAAATGTGTCTTTGCATCAAGGATAGATTTTTCCTTGAATCTTGTGCCTTTGTCTACAACCGTGTCTAAAAACGCAGTCTCAGTGTCAAATGTTTCGGCCTTGAATTCAATAGTTGGGTGATGTAAGACTTACATCACCCAACTATTGTTCAATGAAGGCTTCGATGTCTGGTTTACTCGTGTACCATAGGTCAAAGATATCGTGCATGTAGCATTTCCAAACTGTTGTTCTAAAGACAGTTTTGCTTAGAGTTGTTGTTTCAATATATGTCATGAAAATATTGGCAAAGGAATCAAATCTGCTTTCTTCGTGCCCATTGCAGTTCCATGGTTTTGTAGGTAGTGCTTTCCATTGAAGTGGAAGAAATTTTCTTTGAGGGTCGATTAATCTAAGCATTTCCGGCAAGTAATGTGTAAGAATGGGTTGTCTTTGTAGAAATTTTCTTATGCTTTGTGACAGACAATTTCAATACACCCTCGTTTTGCTGTATATTCGTGTCAAGACTCATAACGTCCATCGAAACATGGAATGTTGGGTTTTTCACATTTGTCTTTCCAGTGAAAGGTATGATTTCTGTGATTTTGATATTGGTTGTAGCAGTGTATCAACAAATTTTGTCAAGCACAGAACAAGGTTTTATGGGATTATTAAGAGGAAACCAAACATCCATGTTTTAACTAGGGGGTGGGTCATGCAATTTCCAACCTTGCTTTAGGGGTGGGTCAGTCATTTTTGTGCCGAAGGGAGGGGGTGGGTCATGTGTGTTTTATCAACCACATTTCCAAATGCTCCGGCCCACCCCCCCTATACTTTTTGACCGGTCCCTAAATAAATAACTATTAAGTAAATAATAAAAATAAACGATAACGGCCAGAGGCCTGTCAGTATTGCCTATATGCAATTGGGCGGCGACCAGCGCAAGATGGCGGATAGAGAGTTAAACGCGTGGAGAGTTTAACAGGCATCTTGAACAACTCTAATCTGTTACTTAGTTCTATTTATTTAATTATTTAATTTAAATAGTTTTTTTTATTAGTACCGTATAACCTCCACCCACTTGTAACTGCTCTGATCTGTGGTAGTAGCCAACTCGAAAGCTTGGCTCCTTTGGCTGCTACACACTCTTCCTTTTTGATGTTTAATTCAATGTATAGTCAGCTCTGTTTTTTACTTCTTCCTTTTTTTTCCCTTATTGTTGTATTGTAATTGAATAAGTGTGAATAAATGAACTTGAACTTGAACTTCAGCTGAAAATCAAAGCAAAGCTAAGGCAATTCACTGTTTAAAAGTCGGTGCACCTGGATCGGTGCCCAGTATCGAAGCGTTTTTTTTCCTGCTTTTACAGGTGCTAACATTAAAAAAAGTATTCATATAATTAAAAAATCGGACACAAATATTAATGCGGACTGGTTGTCGAAGTCCATCTTGACTTATTTTTCTGCACCAATAGGTTTTGGTGATTGGCGAAGAAAGCTTTTTTTTCAGTTTTTCTAAAAGTTTGTAAGATAAAGTGATAAAGTTTTCATAGTTGCCTTTCCGGTCCGTTGTACTGACATGTGTTTTTGATCTCAGTGATTTATACCGATTTCGCTGTAAAGCAATAACGACTTTATAAGTCTCAACGCCCTCCAGTAGCTTGGCACAAAGTAACTCAAAGATTTAGTGGATTAAAAATGTATCCTTCTCAGCCAAAAAGCTATATTTTGACTCTGATTATTCAAAGCAAAAATAAATGAAAACTAATTTTAGTGGGACTCTCTTTTGGCCGGAGTCGATTAATCAGTTAAACCACCTCAGTTACATACGTTTTTATGACTCACCGACGGGAAAAAATAGCCAAGCATCGAATATTATTCTTGCTTGTTTGATTATCATCTACGTGATCGAAATAAGAATTTGCGTTGTCCCAAAAGCAATGAACGATCAATTATTGATAACTTAAAGATAAAGCCAGTGCTCTTTAGAATTTTGTGAATTAAGTTTTTTATTTACATCATAACCATTCTTTGTATGAACACCAGTAAGGGATAAAGAAACTGAATAGACAATGATGCGCGATTCTCTCCAGAAGCATTAAAAAACTCTAAGAAATTCTGACCCAGGTTGCGATTTTTAGCGCAGCTCAGCGTTGCAATGCTGAAACAATGTTGCAACAATATTGCGAATCATCTCGTGTAACATCTGACAGGGTGACGATGAGTGTGTGAAATTTGACCGGTTTTTATTCCGCTGCTTGATGAACTTTTCTGAAACCTTTTACACCCTTTTCTCTTTTTTTTGTATTTTTTTTTCGGGGGGGAGGGGGTGGATGGCGACAGGGGGTTTTAAATTATGTTTCTTCACTCGTACAGTAATAAAGATAAAGACATGTTTTCTAGCCAAGTAGTGATCCGCAGACGGCATTAATCAATACTGCGTTCCAGCTTGACGAGAAGCACAAACTATTCGGTTTATTCCTTTAGTTTCCAATATTTCTACCGACTTATACCTTTTTTGTTTCATTTCCTTTTTGTTTTACGTGAGTTTTGCTAGAGTAAAACTTTCGCTGGTTTAATCCTACAAGTCACGCTATGCGGACCAATCTTTTGAAGGGGCCCGACTACAACCTCTTGAGGGGGGTAAGGTTGATTTGGTTTGCGTAAGCCTGTTTCTTTTTTCTTTTTGGCATACCTCTTGTGATGGATTGTTTTCCCGACAGACAAAGCCACTGTATGGTAGGTATTTCTTTGCAACTGCAGGATATTTATTTTCTGAAATCACTCATACCCCCTCAAACGTTTCTAGTGAAAGTTGATTAATTTGTAAATCAAAGAAATGGCACTTACAATAAAAATCAAAACAATGGAAATAAAACGAGAGGGAAGACTATCCAATGGTAACAAACTAGAATTCCCAGAAAGCAGCCTGCAAGAAAGCAATTTATGCTAATTTATGCGTCAGTCCGCTGGATCTGTTTTGCGTGTTGTTGAGTTCTCGTTCTTTTCACGCGAGAACAAACAAAACACTGTTACAGCTTCAATTTAACCATCTCAGCTGTGATATTGTCAGGCTTTACTCAAGGGTAAGTTTTGCATTTGTTTTTGTGAGCATTTTATTTCATGGGGTACTGAAAACAAGTTGTCTTGTTCGGAATATAAACGCTGCAGTCAAACGGAGCGTCTGTATATTGACAGCGAAAATCAGCGTTTACGGTACTGTTGGTGCCATTTCTGCCAGCCTGCTTTTTTGTAAAACTTGCGTTCTTTTGGGTTTAACTCTTTTCAAAGTAAGTTCGGCTGCTCTGTTCTCGATATCAAAGTGCCTAAACATCAATTTTGGTTGCTTGCTTGCGAAATGTAGCCCTAGTTGTTTCATATTCCAAACGCTCGCTATCCAGTGGTCTGGTTCGTTTTTATCTGTTCATGATGTAGCGTTCGAAAACATGGCTTCATCATACTTAGCTTGTTAAATACATATTTTCATTCTTTTCAGACTGATTTGAACTATGGGTGAAGGCGACGGCTATGGTTGTAAAATCTATTTTCTCATTTCACTCGAGGGAATCCTGTTCTTGCTGCAGCTCGTAAGTGAAAGTCGAACATGGTTTCTTTCGTGTTGTTTCATTGGGTACTTTCGATTGTTTAGAGGATTTCTTTGGGTTCGATAGTTGCGCGACGTTCAGTAACCTTTTGTAAGTTAGGCATTTTTTTTATGTCTGTGATGTTATTTTAAATATTCAGGTAATTTGTAAATCATTTGTTTTATTACCGCACCCTCTAACCTACAGGCAGCCTTTTGTACATGGCCAGTGAGCTGAAAAATTTTCCAGTTTCTTAGTAAAGAGCATAAATGTTGGACCTGATCTATAGAGAAACTTAATATCAAAATGATAGCAAAACACAGAATTATGTTTTACTGCCCGATTTTTAACGGCCTTAAATCAGATATCTGGAAGAGAAAATCACATATTTTGGCTACTTACAGCAATTATCATTTTAATGCACTGATTGATATTCATACGAAGCCATTTCAACCCTGTTGGTGTGAAAATTGAGTTTTTCACAATTTGGCAGTGCTGTATGTAGTTGGTGTATGTACAGCTCTTTGCCCATCAACATATTAACCACTGACATGGATAGAGGAGAGTAGTAACCCAATTGGTTCACTATATGACTGTTTTATTATAACTACATTATTATGATTATTACTGTTAGAAAAATGTAAACTTAAAGTCACAACAATCAAGGTATCCTAACTGGTTGCTAATTAGAAACATTTCCCTAAAGCACTTGTGTTCCATTACTTGATGCTCTTGATTTTAAAACCAAAACCTATTATTATTGATATTTCAAAGAGGAGTACCTTATACTAAAAATAACATTCCTCAAGTTGATTGTTAGTTAACTGACGAGGTGCAATATTTTATAATTGTGCCTGCCAAGTCATTAAATCTCTTTTAGTGTCTTTGAGATATGAGTGACTCATATGAAAATTGTTACTGCCTCAAAAAGAAATCAAATTCATTAATATGTAAAAATGAGACTAAAGAAAGAGATGTACGCACAATAATAATTATAATTGTGATACAGGGTTATATGTACCTTAGTATTTTTGAAGTGTAAAGGCTTTCATCTTCAGCATTGAAGCAGAAAAAATATAGGTTCATCTGCATGCAGTAACTTAATGTACACATATATATGCTGACAAAGTTACACAGCAACATTTTCTATAAACACATTATAAGGTTGTTTGGGTTAACAAAACAGCAACTGGAAGCTGGTTTTCAAACAACAGGTGGAATGATTTTGTTTTGTTACAATACTTGTATTATTTTTGTGACCCATTTTTTAAAGTAAGTGAAGACATGCTTATGACTCCCTTGCTAAATTGCAACTATACCTGTACCAATAATGTATATTTAAAGATATTTGTGTTGTTGTTTTCCCTTGGGTCAGTTTTTTTTTTTGCTTTCCTTGAGTTGGATTTTGATCACAATCTTTTACTTTACTAAAAATGTTGATATGCAAAACCAAGAAAAAAGTGAAGTGAGATTTGATCCAGCAGTAAAGTTTTACTAAAATTGTATCTAAGTTGCACAACAACCTTTCTAGGTTCTCAAATAACAATAGAAACAATTTTCAAAAAAGTCTGGACTTGATGAGTTTTATAATAATAATTATTGTAATTTATTAAAATAAATTATTTACTTTTTAGGTTCTTGGAGTCATTGCTTTTGCATTGGTTTTGAGTCATGAGGATTCTAGTTTGTTTTCACATTATGGCTTCTTTATTCTGGTCAGTGCCCTGTGCTGGATTGGTGCCTTGTTAATTATATTCTTCCACGTGATTGGCTGTTGTAAAGTCAAAATACTGGGTATCTGGCAGAGAGAATATTCACTGGTAAGAGACATCTGCAGTTTCAATGAGTTATGTTTACCCTTACTCTTTCTATTCTGTACCAATACTTCCAAGTTCAGCTACATACATGTACAAATCGTATACCAGGAAATTTGTGAAATCATATATCATTTTAAAATTATATGCAATTAAAATCATACCAGTAGAATTAATATTTACCCAAATAATGTCACTTTCAAAACTTAAGAAACTTGCAGTTCCTTCAAGGCTTAGGGGAATAAAAACAAGGAAAATCACATTGAGGTTCAGGAATGAATAATTTATTGATTTCTTTTGTTTTAATTCCCTACATGCAGTTACATCTAGCTTTAATATTACTGTATCTGACTTCTTAATTTGGCAACCCAGTCATACTGAGAGAGTTAATTTAAATTATAATTTTAGCAGGTGTACATAGTAAAAGTAAATGACAAGTGTTGGACTGCATGTAAATGGGAATCTGTTATGGCAGTTTCTAAATACTTGTAATAAATAAAATAAATAATGATTTGGAGGTAGCACATCCACGAAGTGGTTCTTCATCTTCCTGATTTCTGGTTGAATTGGAATTTGGAAATGTTGGTTTTTGAGGAGATGGGAAAACCTGAGTACGCAAAGAAAAACCTCTAGAAGCAAGGGAGAGAATCAACAACAAGCCTGCACCCAACAAAACTCGTGTATTTCATTTGCATGCTCCAAATCAGTGTTTTCATTTATGCACACATTATGCATTTATGTACCACCCCATAAAACACTGCCAAGATGCACAAACACAGCACTTAATGCATCCTTGGGATGAAAGAAATTTACTAGTCTATCTAGTAACTTCCCAGAGAGCATGTTGAGGCTTTATAGAAACTTAGGATGCATACATATATGTCTCTAGTCATAGTGCAAACTCGGTCAAAACCAAGAATAATTTTCCATAATAGCCAATACTGTGCTCTAAGAAGATTTTGTGTTTAGCTCAAATCCACGCTCAGTGCACATGCGGTCATAATGTCTGTGCAAAAACTAAAGATTTCCTTGTCACTTGAGGGACAACATAATAATAATAATGACTGTTTATTAAGACTCATTGCAGTAATATACAGAATGGCTGAATTACAGAGCTATTTACCAAACATATAATACTAAAATATAATACAATAAATCCAATAAATACTAGAAAATGTAATTGTACAAGCCACTAGGTATACTTATGCGTGACAAACTCTTGCGTGTGCCTGGTCCTACAGGTAGCACACGTGGAGCCGCTAATGCCAGATCTAAGATTATAATTATGCACAACCTCCTCCTGTTTGGGGAGCATAAAATGCAAGGGGTGATTCTCATTCCGGAGTCTATCAATATAAACCTGGCATACATGGGCTTACTTTTAAATCAAGAGCATTTAATGCCTCGTAATTCATTAAAGGAAAAATGATGCGCATTAAGCCCTTTTCTGAATGCTCTTAATCTTATAAGATAGAAAATCTGGCATATTTTGCCAGACAGGGGCAGCATATTCTAGAACAGGACGAACAATGGTTGTATAAACCTTAGCCAGTGAAGCTGGAGGTGCACCACATTGCTTACGGACCCTTAAAGAGTAAAGCCTCCTGTTTCCCTTTTGCACTATAACTTCTACATGATGGTTCCATTTCAGGTCATTACTTACATAAACGCCTACTAACTTATATGTCATGACTCTCTCAATTGTGTTACTACCAATAATACAATAGGATTCTCAATAAAATTATGATTACTCATAAAATTAATTAGCATCTCCTTGCTTTTAGTAGGGTTCAATTTCATTCTGTGATCTTCAGAAAAAGCATAGATATCGTTTGTAACAAAATTGAGTAGACTGGCACTGTTCCTAGGGATTATTTCAAGGGCTGTGGTATCACCAACAAACTTTATTATAATGTTCCATGAGCGCAATAAATTATTTGTCATGATTGTAAACAAAATGACTTCTAACTTGGTGCCTTGTGATATACCGCCCTTGGGAGTTTTCCACTCAGATATAATGATGGCAGCCCTGATGCGATTACCTAAACAGGCTGCTGAGGCTGAGAAATTAGTTTCAGTGTATCGTCTACTACTACAGGCTAATGGAAAGATATTTTTGTCTTTTAGTGGATATTTCTGTTGAGTTATTCCCTGTCATACTTCTTCTTCTTCCTGTTCTCATCGGCCCTGCTGTCTCAATGGACTCAAGGTTCAGCCCAGTTTATTATTGCTGCGGTAAGTTCAGTTGACTTTATGTTTTATGAATTTGTGACATGTCGAACACACATGTATTTTATCATAAGAAAGTCTGTATTTAACCACAGACATTAATAATTCAATGTCAAAAAGATTGATTGCAGATGGATCTACAATATTCAAAGTACTGTAATATAATATAATATAATATTCAAAGTACTGTTTGAGTATAACTTTTTACCAAGACTTTTCTGGCACATATTGTAGGGGCACACCTTTTAATTTCGCATTCTTGTACCCGTAATGTTGCACCTGAAAATGAATGACGTGTCTAAAAACACTGCGTTGCGTTCCATTATTTTATTTAGTTGAGTTGTTTGAATGTAAATGTGTGTGCTATTATCACTTCCTTTCCACCTATATAAAGTGAATTAACTGTGTTTTTCTTTTCTTTTTAGATCTGTGGCTTTATTTTGGCCATTGTATTTTTCATCCTTTGCTTTATATACTACCGCCGTGTCAGGAAAATCAGACTGACAGAGGTTGCCTGGGAAGGTGACAAAACGAGAACCTAAGACTCAACATGTTGGGTACAGTCATGTAGAGGAGATGGGAGTTGATCAACCCATTGCACTTGGGGTTCGAGCCTTTTTTAAACACGTGTAGAATCCATGCTGTACAAATGCTTATTTTGTAAAAAAGTACTTGGAATTTTGTTTATATGGTAGTTTTTACAGTACTGTTTAGTGGCAGTATGCTGAGGACATAATTTTTGTGAAAGTATTGCATTTATTTACATTGTAGTGTCTTTGTAATAGGTAAAAACTATATTTATTTAAGTAACTATAGTTCTCATACAACTTTTAACCAACAGCTCTGTGACTTACTACCCCTACATGCTAGCCCCAGCCCCCTGGCTAGCTTTGACAGTTTTTTGTGAATAGAGATATGCTGCAATGCACCCTTCCAGGAGAGCCTTTCCTAAGTTTTGTTTCTAAAATTAAATCATACAGTGTTTCCATTCAAATGCATTCTCTTCTGCAATATTTTCGGCTTGTTCTCTTTCAGTTTCTTTTCAGCATTTTACACATTTTTTTCTTAACTGAAATTTGGAATTTCTTTTTGTTAGTTTTGCCTATTGGCCACCTCCAGGAGTGAAATGGTTTCTCCTTCACTAAAATAAATTAATAACTGACAGTGACAATTTGAAGGCTTTCCTAGTCAACATTTTTCAAGTTGTTTTTCCATATTTGAAATTACTTTCATTGTTGAGTACAAAGTAAAAAAAGGAAAAAAAATGGTTAGCCACAGTAGAGCTTCCAGTCCTGTTGGCTTAAGGTTGGTACACACTAGGCAACAAGTTGCAGCAACATGTCGTGACGTCACGTCGCAGCAACAAATCGCTTCGTGTGTACTGGAGTATTTTTGTGAAAATCTTTGCTCTGCAACAGAATTTTGTCGCAGCAACATGTTGCAAAAAATCAAATCAGACAGAATTTGTGTGACTTGTCGCGGCAACAAAATTCTGTTGCAGAGACAGATTTTTTCACAAAATTTCTCCAGTACACACAAAGTGATTTGTCTCCATGATTTGTTGCCACAACATGTTGCAGCAACTAGTCGCCAGACCTGTACTGATGGAGTGATCTGTCGCCATGACTTGTTGCTGCAACTTGTCGCCTAGTGTGTACCGACCTTTAAGCGTGGGTACCTTATTTTCTTTTACCAAAATCTTAGAGTTGTATTCATTTTGGAAAGAGTGCTTGCAATGAGTTACTTTGTCTGCATTAGACTTGGGATAATTCATGAAGCAAATATAATGTATTTGTCTTGTACATAATGAAACAAACTTATGACAAAAGCTGTATTGACTTAGCCCTGAATACACTTTGACCAACTAACTCTAAGTTTGCAATAAATTGTTTTTATATATGACTAAGGTAATGTCCAGTACCAAGAAAAAAAAACCCAGTTTGCCTAAGTCTGAGTTATCATTTTTATTTCTAGGGTTGGACAAATCAATTAAGTCATAATCAGTGCTTTTATTAAACGTATGTAATTAGGTGAAAAAGTGTAGTTTCACTAGAAAGTAGTATTTTTAGAATTTAATAAAGAAAAACGAACTACGGGCTTATTTAACACTCTTCAAATAGTGTTGTTGTACATGTCTATTCTGTCTTGCTGACCTTTTAAAGCCTGCGAAGAAAGTTGGGAGATGGGGGAGATTAAGGAGACCTCTACGTTGTTATTTAGTGCACAACCGGGACTCTATATAGATCTCTGGAAAACGACTCGTGTATTTTGCTCGGAGTTTCAGTATTGTCAGCCCTTGCTCTTGCATCTGGTACCCAGGGTAAAATACACAGGGCACCCTTACGCCTATTGAGACTGAAGGGGTTCCACGTCTGTATGCCACCCTCTTTTTTTTTCAGCGTTTGCCGTCGTCTGACCGACCTAACTATGTGGCATTTTGAAATTCTTAATCCTTTGGGCCGGGTTGTTCAAAGCAGAGTTATAAGATAACCCAGGGTTTGTGCGAAATTTTAATTCAGAGATGAAAGGGTACGTAAAAAGCAAATTCAGTTTTATTCTTTCTGTCTACAAGTAATATTTTGATGATTGGATGCTCTAAAAAGAATCGAGAAAATTATCCAGGAAAATCCTTTTGAACAAAAGACAAAGAATCCCAGGTTAAAATTTAACCCCGGGTTAGCGGTAATCGGCCTTCCAACAACTGGGCCCTGGACTGTTAACTGCAAACTTTAAAGCATCAGATGGGCATCGCCAAACGTTACCTCTGAAAGATGTTCTAAATTGATTGCAAAAAAACTGAGATACTAAGTACTTATTTAATTTGCATGGCAGCTTAAATTAATGTGAATCTGAAAACGAAGCTTTAGTTGACCAGTTTTCCTGACAATCAGCATCTCCACACGCCGAAGCAGCTTTGCAAGCTTTAAGTACTGCGTGTACGTATTGCCGCCTGTTATCATCTGACTTCTGATTGTTAGGAGATTTTGTAGAAGCGGGCTTCTTTCTCTTATCAATAAACTCCTTGACCATCTCTTCAGTAGGATCTTTTCCATCGATGATGGCCTTGATCGTCTGCTGCACAGTAAACCCTAATTTCTTCACGAGATCTTTCCTCATTGAATTTTGTGCGTCGTCGTTGCCATGCAGGAATTCCAATTCTTTGTCCAGTTTTTGGCGGGCTATTTCTGCCATCGCTTTTGTTCGCCTGTCTTTTTCCTCCCTGATCTTCTTTTCTTTCTTTTCTGCTTCCTCCACAGCACATGTATCCTTAACATGAAAAAATTAAAAACAGTCACAAACCTGTATTAAGCGGTTACCCCACCCTCCCAGTATTTCCCCGCTTTATGTGACATGTATTTAGCAGTCACCTCTATTAAAGGAGTCGACCTGTGTCACGAAATTCAGCCAAATTAGGAAATTACAAGAAAATGCCCGTTAAATCAAGAGAAACACTAAAATAATCGCTTAAAACTTTAAAGGATGCATGGTTAAAACTGAAACGGAGTAAAATTAGGGTTTTTGAAAAACTGTTCAGCCTAACAGTTTTTCAAAGTTGATTCTTGCTGCTTGCAACTTCAAAAATAATGCTCAGGAGACATATTTGTTTGTCACAGATCTTTGATTTTGTCATTTTCACGTAATTTCTTTGCTTACTTTAAGTTCCATAGCGATCGAGGGCGAGTAGTTGGCAAAATTAAACAAAATGAACTGGACTGCCGTGACACAGCCCCTTTAAGTGGTCAACTTTTCTGAGTTTCTTTTTTAACGAGTTATTTTTTTTCACATAGTTTTCAAAAAAAAAACGGTCACGTTGTCAGGAGCCTGCTGTACCATACTATTGCAGTGGTGCACTGTGCATAATGCCGCAGTTTCTTCCTTTCCTGTTGCACAACTGAACAGGTATTTGACTGCGGTGTATTGGATATTCCAGGTATAGTCGGCTGGTCACTTGCACTTTTTTCTCTTGGAGAATGGCTAACTGTAATTTAATTGCACCTCATTTTACTGCCTACAAGGTAATAAGATTACAAGTGCATTCCTGCAAAACAATTCTTGATGTCCCCAAACTGAATGTCCAAAGAAAGGTCTATTTGGTTGTTCCTAAAGGTAGATACCAAACTGAAAGGTATATTTTACCATAGTACCGTTCAAATTAAATTAAAATATAATTCGGAATTTTCCACTAGTGTATATCTTCTATTAATCCCCACTCTCAAATAAGCCCTCCCTTTTCAGGAAAAGAAAGTCATTACATTACAAACAACAAAAAATGAACTTTGAAAAACTGTTAGGCTAACCGTTATGAAGTTTTCAAAAACCACAATTGCTAATCCGTTGCAATCTTCTTCAACTTAACCATATGTTTCTCCTTGTATATTAGCTGTGTTGTTCATACCTTCTTCCCATGTTCTAAGCAGTCATTTCATCGTGACACTCAGTCTGGTCGCGGTTGTTATACTTGTTTGAATTTTAAAAAATTTCGTGACATAGCTCCTGATATGATGTTTAAATTAAATTTAGTACCTTTAAATCCTCAAACTGAAAACTCGCCACATTTTCCCTGGTAAGGTTAACGAATTCCGTTAATCCATGTAAAAAAGGAAATAGGGCTGCTGTTATTGGTTGGTAGTCGAAATAATCTTCCTCTAAGGGTACAATCCCCGGTTGAGGCTCCCATTTCCAATGAAAAGGAAGGCTTTTCTCTGGAAACAGAAGGATATGATAGCATTAAATCCTGATTTCGGCTCGAGATTAATGTTGTAGGGAAGAATCCAATTTTTGGCTGCTTATTGTCACATTTATGGGATCTCAGGGTCCCACAAAAAGCTAAAAAGTGACTCAGGATTCAACAAAACTCAGTGCAAAAATGAGCATGACTAGTTGGGTTTGTTAAGATGGCGACCACGCGCTGGTCGTCAATTGTTTTATGAGTCTTTATTGCCAGACAGATTTGCTGTTTCATTAGTTTTCACATAGCGATAGCCAGGGAATTTATGAATTACATATGTCATATATGCAGTCGTAAAGAAAGAGGGTAAATGATTTTGCCATTAAAGTACTTGTTCGTTGAATAGTTTAATTTTGTTATTGAGATGTTTTTACTAAATTTAAAGTAAAATTAGAAGCATAATTTGGCTGCATTATTTTACTAATTGGAGTAAAAGGGCACTGCTACTGGCATATAGAGTGCTACTCTCAATGAATCAGTATTTTTAAAAAAATCTTCCAGACCAGATTTAAACCTAACAGGTAATCATAAATGCGTCTTCTCTTACGCATTATTAGAAGGCTTTTAACTGTGACGATTTCACCGAAATGTGACGTACAAAACTTAAGAATTCAGTACTTGAACTGATATTTAAAGACCCGTGCTAAAACGTTTGAGAATCCATTTATACCACTTGCCTGCTTTCACAAACTTCGTTATCCAGTCAAATCCTGGACTTTCATTGGACAAGACTATATTCGGTACCAGTCTTTCTTCCAGTAGCATCTTAAAAAACACGGCCCACAGCTCATCAGTGACGTAATCGTGTCCACTCGAGTGCAGTCCAAACACGTACATACCAGCCGCCATAAGCTTAACCTCCACATTTTCTATTTCTTCTCTCTGTCCGTTTTTTTCTTCTTTGAAAACGGTCAGAATCCTGTTGTCCACGGACAAGGCGCACACCACAGGCTTGTCAGATTGGAAACCGTTGGGCGCGTAGCAACCTAAAAAAGGAAAAATTTGCATAACCTCAGTGCAGCTTTACTCTAATGTCCTAAAATACTGAACAGGGATCGCGATTGCAGTTGATCTTGCGACCGAGTTGGAAACTTAATTAAGCATTCATTGAGAGAATCGCAGCTCATTACGTTGGATTTAGAACAATTTGATGCGACAGTCGGGAACATATACTTCGCGGGGAACTATATGTTGCTCTGTCATTGAAATTCTGTGGGTGAAAAAAACTAAGAAACCGTTATTTTATCCTTGGTCACGATTAATGGTAGCATTTTAGCCCTTTCACCCCATTGTCAATAATGGACACCATAAAATTGTGTTTCTAGATTTTTAGCGTGTAAAGGAAATCAGCGGTACTGTCCTTTTGCATGGTAACTCCTTGTTTAGAACGTTTGTTTGGAGTGGTTGAATAAATACCACATTTGCTCTCTGGAAGAGACAAGAGACAGGAAAAGATAGCATTAATTGCATGGAAGACGGTATTTTTCAGGCCAGAGGGCTCTCAGAATTTCCTTCTGAATTTGTCTATTGTAATTATAAGTGAGGTCACCATCATTGTTGTGCCATGCATGCATGAACCGAGATGTCTGGTAACCGGGGGCCTCAAGCTCTTTGGTCAGCGTGTAGGGAGTCACCGACAGGAAGGCTCGCGGTCTTTGGACACGAGATTACAACCTTAGCCACTGCGCACTTGTTTCTGCCTTTCCCAAACCCCACCCTCCACGACGTCTCTCCCTGGCCATAAAACATCTTTACTCACCTGGAATTTTCTCAGAGCACAATTTTATGTTTTCCAAAAATCGATTATCCCAGACAGCTACAAACTTCATCAGTTCATCTTCGTTATCTTTTTGGGGTGCTTCTGAGCTCTATATTATGATACAGAGGATCCTATCAATTAGTATAGCAGATAACTGAGGACTTACTCGAAGGATAGGAAGACGGTAACGTCACACTAAAAAGTGTGGTATGTATGTCTAAACTAATGTACAGATCAGGCAGAAAAACATTTTGTTAACAGAGATTATGACTCAAAATGAAGGTTCACCTTCAGGCAAATGGAGTCATGCTAAATCTTCTTGACCGAAACCAGAATATAACCCCGCATGAAAAGTTTTTGGTTATCGGGTTATACTTAATTTGTCCACGTCTTTCGAGAGACCTCTCTTCCAGAGTTCTTCAGAGAAGTTCATCATTCGAATGAATACGGGTATATATGTTGTATAAGGTAATTCAAACCATTCAATTAGCTGAAGTATTACTGACCTAGAGAAAGGAAGTAATCTTACCTCACAGATCTTGTCCAGTCTTTCAATCAATCTTTGCTCCTCGCGCATCAACTGCTTGACTCTCCTTTCAAGGCTCCCCAACTCTAGTTGATTGACAGTTTCCTTTACTGCAGAAGACTGTTTCTTCATGTCCTCTAAAGAGGATTCAAGACCAAAGAGGTTCTCCGTAGGTACATCGGTTTCGCCAACTTTTATTGAACCCTTGCCCAGCATGAAGAGGATGTGCTTCCACTGGTTCAACAGAAACCTGAGATTTTGGGTCATTTTCTTCACAAACCTTCTACTATCTGGAGATTCGCGCTTGCTAATGTATCCAGAACGCTCCACAGTTAAAGAAGACCATAGGTTTCTGGTTTCTAGGGTTGATTGGTTGTACCCCAATGCTTCAAGTTGAGCGACGATGTTTTGATTCTCTTCCACAGATAAAATGTGAGCTTGGATTAAGCTGTGCAATTCTGGACCCACGGCAGCGGGGTTACTTAAGAACAGCAGCTGAACAACCGCTTGTGTATGAGATACAAGGGTTGGTTTAATGGCAGAACGGGATAACCAACGCCTTAACAATACTAGTAATGGTTCAAACACCTCATTTTTTCTCAATATACGTGGGAGGTTCTCTGAATCATCTGGATCGGACTCACACTGTCTGCCAAAGACGACAGTAAGGAGCGCTTTAAGCATCTTTCTATGAATTCTGTACAAATCCTTGCCGTTTCGCTTTTTTTCTGGATTTTCATAAGCCTCGCAAAGCTTATAACACGCGTCAACGACTTTTTCCTTGATAACAGCATCTGTTCTATTTTCCTCGGGTTTTCCCAGTTTAAGCATGTTAATCAGCTCACAAAGCAATTTCGCTAATCGAATGCGTTCCTTGGTCGATGGCTCCTTGATGCCTTCTCCTTGAGTAATAGTAACCTTAAAACCATCTTCAGGGAAAACGCAGCTTTTAATTTTTTCAGAAAGTGCTGGAACAATCTCTAGCAAATTTGAATTCAGGTCAACAATAGCATCAATGTCTCGTGATGACAATTCCTTGAGTGGTGTCGTCAGGAACGCTACACACCAGCAGTCAATCACTTGGGAAGAAAAGCCGCCTGCTATCATCATCTCTCGCCATTTGGGCAAACGGTTGAAGCCATACTTGTCTTCTAGATCGCGTAATAAAAGTAGTTCATCAAACTTGGCCATAAGGTTTTCACTTGAGTCTTTGCAGAACCGACCAAATGCGTTTAGTAATTGCCAGACAAGCTGACTCTGGAAAGGGTTTAGGGGGAAATCTTCTTCCTTCTTGCAAAACGAATGAACACGTCTCACCACTTTCATTACCTGATCTTGGGAAGACCATGAAGACACGATGTCAGCTACTGTTCCAGCTGCAAGTACATTTGTCTGAAAGATTTTGAGAATTTGTGTGGTCACTTTGATCGATAATCCGCTCCCAAGAATCCTGCCCAAATAATACAACCCTGGTTTAAGATGTAGAAAGCATGGAAATGGTCTCACAGAGGGAAATCCATCTGCTGCGGAAGTCTTGAGTTGCATCAGTGTGTTGCTAACGAGGGCTTGAAAATTTAACTTCGCTTCCTTTTCAAAATCGCTACTGCTCTTGCAGGCTTTCAAGACAACTTCTAGGCACTGGCAGGTGAAGTGGCTATCAAGTTTAGCCCAATGAAGCATTATTTCTGTCGATGAAGACTCAGAAAAAATGGACAGAAGAACATTCAAGTAGTCATCATAAAAAGTCAAGCTCGCTGCACATTCAGCCTCACAGCATGCTAGGCAATGTCCAAAAGCATGGTCCCAAAGTGAAAATGCAACTTCAGAGAGGTCTTCCCCTTGTTTGAGTACACGTTTTATTTGATAAATCATTTTCTGCGCCATCAATGCTGGTGTTAAAAGGGACAATTGTGGGTCAATGGCAGGGTAATCATTTCCTTGGTTTCTTTCTTCATCTCTAGATTTTTCTGGTGTTTGTAATCTCTTCTCTTGAACCGGGATAAACGTAAAGCAGCCTCCTTCTATTCTTACGTCAGAAAAAGTGTAGCATCTTAGTGGCTGCTTTAAAGTAAGAGATCTCGAAAGTTTGTATGCCAGAGCAGCTTCATCAGTTGAAAGGGACGAATTGAGAACGAGCCATTCTAGATCGCAACATGCAATTCTTCTTTTAATTACGTCTTCGTTGTCTTCGGCGCAAGAAATCTCGACGTTCTTTGTTTTCTGCAGAATATCTTGTATCCGATCTACCAGTTCGTGTCTCCTACCTCGCGTATTGGTGTTACAATAGACGTTCCAAAGGAGTCGTGGAACCTCCAAGTACGAGAGATACTCAGAACTTACTGAGCAGCGCCATCTCAGTGCAACTTCGTTAAAAAAACTTTTCCTATCCTCTTTGTTTACCTTGTTTTTAAGAAGATTGCAAAAATTACCCATGATAAACAAAGTTAATTCTGAAGGGACATCGCGAACAATGCTTGCCACTTCCTCCAGTAGCTCTATTATATTCCCAACTGAACCTGACTCTTGGACGGCTATCTCAAGAATTTCCATGATGACGTTGTTAAAATATGGTTCGTTTAAATGCTCTTGCGAACCAATAAAACGGTAGATGTCCATCAGTGTGCCGGTTGAAAAGTAGTCGGAAGTCTTGCTGGAGAAAACATAGCATAAAGACTTACTGGACTTATTTAAACCAGTGGAAAGTCTTGATAGCTGAGTCATCAGGTGTGGATCTCTCAGTATGCCTTCTATCTGATTCAGTTCTAAACGCATGATTTCTTTTTTGCTTGACATATCGTTGTTTTGCAATCGAGAAAATGGTATCAAATTGTGTAAGGCATTTACCATTGTCGTTTCTGTTAAGCTATTTTTGTTTTGGACAAAAATGTCACAAACGGTCCTGACTAGGGATAGCTTTTCTTGGCAAGATAATACGTTTGATCCCACGACAATTCCTAGGGACGAAACGAAAGTTTCTTGTTCTACACATTCTCGAACTTTGGAGTCGTTTGGTGATCTCGTGGAAGACAATGGCAATTTCTCCCGACTAACTCTTAATTGCTCAACAACTCTCTCAGAACCTTCTCTTAATTGAGTGTAGAGTGCCAACATATCAATTGGAGAACTTACTTCTATAGCTTGTCGAAGAACAGGCCAACACCATCGCGAATCAATTTCTTCATCGAATAAATCCAAAGAAATCAACCTGGGAACTAGAGAGCTCCATAAATCTTGCAGTTGTGGTGAAGAAACCACTGAAAGTAGTTGATTGTAGAGCTGCTGACACATGTGTTCGTCTTCTTTAAAAATGTCAAAAAAGGCAAAAAAAAGTTGATCAAAATATTCATTTGCTTCCTCGAGGACGTGGAGACGATGTTTTACCAGCTCTAAGATCTTCACACTACATAGTAGACCTTTCCCGGTTTCCTTTGACCTCTGCAGTACTTTAACTCTACGGTCACCTGAAATCGAACATCTTGATACCAATAAAAGTAGCTCCTGAATCCGTGATGGAATCGTATTCATTTCAGAACAACGTTTGATGAAATGAAATATTTCAGAAAAAATTTCATCTTGAAGCTTTAGATTTTGGTCTGATACTACACCTTCAACAATCTTTCGGAAGAGGTTTCTTCCTTGCTCCCTGAAGAGGTTGGCCAAACGGCTAAAAGTATGGATTATGGTCTTTTTGACACTAAGGCGCATTTGTTGACAGAGGCTTACATTTTTGATCATATCAATTGAAAATTCCCAGCAGTTGTACCATGGGGAAGCTTTATTTATGCAGGACGTTAGGAGTAATATCAACTCTTCTTTCATGTTTTCAGTGCAGCTTTGTTGAGCAATCTGTTGTAAGAAGTTGATAATTGGGCGTTGTTCCAAGTTACAATACACAGGAAGTTTATCGCGTGGTACTTTCCCTCTTCTGGCAGCGCTTTCAATGAAAAAGACCAGTAGTTCTTGATGACTTTGGAATGTCGTCGGAAATATCTTTACACAAGATGCAAGGAAAGGACACCAAAGCTTTACTAAAGGTAGTAAGGATTGAGGAAGACAACATAAACACTCCAAGGTTGTTTCAGCATTTTCTGCCAAAGAATAGCTTTCACTTCCTGATCCTCGTAGGAATAAACTGATAATTAAATGTAAAAGAGCCTCGTAATCACGATCTTCAGGAACGATCCCTCTCCAGACATTTAACAATTTGTTGACAAGTATTCCGTCGGGAAACAATGACAAAGCTCTAAAGACAAGTTCAAAAGCAACCGGTTCATAGAGGTTAGACCAGGGCTGCTTACGATTCAAGGATCGTTTGCCTACAAAAAAGAACTGGTCAAGAATTTTTTTCAGGACTTCGTTGCCAATGCTTCTGTTTGCAAGAAGTTTAAGAGAAGTCTTCGCTAACGGCGAGTGAGAGATAAAACGATGAGCATGCCGATGACTGAAAAAGATATTCAGCCTTTCTTCCTCAGAGGGGAGAGAAACTTCACTACCACTTCGTTTCATTTCTTCCAATATAATCCCAAAGAAACCAACTAGAGAATTGTGATGTAAAAGAATGGGATAAGGAAAAGGTATATATCGTGGGTCATCCTTCTTGGCTAAGGCACATGCAAAGCCATTGCTGACGTGCTCAAACTTCAAAAGTATAATCCAGGACAACAAACATGCTGGTACCGCGATATCTCCCAGTAAATCGACCGTAAGTTCCTTAATACAAGGTACAGAGGCGTCTTTAGAAGCAAATCGTATTGTTTCATCGACAATTTCCACAAAGTGACTTTTATCTCTTCTTGTCTTAAGTACCTCAAGTAATTTACCAACCAAAAATTTGCTGGCGAACTTTCCTTCATTCAAAATCTGCCCAAGTTGGAGCAGTTTATGAAGTACCTCAGTCGAAAGGCATTGAGATGTGTGCTCAGAGAAGCAAAATTCTAAGGCCATGGTGAAGTAATCAAATTCAGTTCTTTTCGCCACTTCAGGGGTATAGCAAAAGCAGACGCAAATTGCGAAAATTTTCATCACCTCTTCAGTAAAATTAGAATTTTTTGAGGTACATAATTTTAGCGGGCGTACACCTAACTTGAAACACTGAATGACGTGTCTGCCCCGTAAGCGTTGAACGTCTTTAAAGAAGGTGGACTTTTGGTTCTCGTCTTGAAAAGGAAGCTCTTCAAGTTCTTTAAGCACTTTTCTCAACTCATCGTCGGCAACAGTGGCGCCTGAGTCTTTCTCCACACTGCACTGATAATGAACGTTTTCAGCCATTTGAGGGTTTGTAACGTGATTTTGGTTCACTGTCGACAGATGATAGTTTACTTTCTCCACTTGCGGTACTCTGACATCTTCGTTCGGCCAAATGGGCGAATAACCATCGATTGTGAACCAGAACTACGAGAGAAGAGCAACTATAATTGTGAGATTCACGCAAGGAATGGGCTTTCCTTTCATCAGAGTTAAGCAGACCCTCCTTTCCCACCATCCTTGAGACAGCAGTGTGAATTTAAGCATTTTCAGATTTTTTCTACTGTTTACGGGGCAGTGAATCATTACATAAGTATTCACCTTAATTATTGCTGCTGCAAGCACAAACGAACTTCCCTTCTACGTACAACAGTATACAAAAAGGAGCGTTTTCACATGACGTCAAGGTGTTCCAAAACAATGAAACGGCGGCCATGTTGGTGTACCAAGAAAATCCTCTCGACTGGGAGTTGAACTCTCCTCTCATGTAAAAGTTTCCTTTTGTTCCAGTAAATTAGCATAGACTTTGGACACGTGAGTGAAAACGCTCTATATTCATTCATGATCTTGCAAAGAGATGGCACGAAAGTATGAAGTTATCCGGTCTGGTACTGTTACAATGTTAACAATGTTTCTGATCAAAAACAGATTTCATATTTTCTTTGAGGAAACTAAATATTAAAGAGAACTTCGCTTTTAGCCGTGGCTAAATCTACATATTAATTCATTATTTTAGTTTAGTTCGTCGCACGTTAGATCAAGCATTTGTCCCGGAGACGATCTTCAGACGTCCTATATCCGTCTGCTTCAGACAGAATAGAGACCTTTAGCATCAGGTAAACCGCAAACCGCAGACCGCAAACCGCAGTTACGCGTTTGCAGTTTCGCGTTGCCGAGATTTCAAACTTTAGCAAGGCGTTCAGTTCAGTTCAGTTCATTTTTTATTTAGCCAAAATACAATACAATACAAGAATACATATAGGAATTGTAAGGTTGCAAGGGAGCCCAGAAGAAACCAGAAGGCTTTATGAAGCCTGGACTCCCCAGTCTAAAAATGATAAGCAAAATAAAATGATATTCGCGGAGTGATACGTTAAATATAGGAACCAAACAGAATTCAGTAACAAGATAGAAAAAAAAATTTAAATCTGGATTGGAACAGAATACTTTCCTTTCTCAGTACGGCAGAAAGGAATACAAAATTGATTTGAACTACGCGTTCATTGTTTAGGGCCGCCATGTTGTTTTCGTCAAGTCGAAGTGCATCACTTTAATCACCTAAAACTCAGCAATAATTTATTGATTCGAGATCAAAAATCCAACAAACACATCGCAAACGGATACAAAAAGCTAGTTCATACCTTTAAACGCGAGGCTGTACAATTTTTTGTGGCAAACAACCTTGCCGTATATCACTTATGCACCTATCAATGTTAAGCCGCAGGGGGGGGAGGCCGGGTGTAGGCGGGGGATTTGACGTAACAAGTCTGCCCGTGGCAGGGACTTTTGATCATTCGTCGAGTCCCGGGGGTCGGGACTTTTGACTTTAACCGTTAGTGGCCTGAGCTCCACCGACGCCATCTTGGATTTTCGGCGCACTGAGACCTGGTAACCAGCAGACATCAAAATGGAGGCTGCTTCGGTTTCCGTGAAGAAGGTAAGAAATCTGTGAAATTTTGTCGCTTAAAGAGCCCATCGGGCCGTTTTTTGCGTTTTGTTATGTCATCAGTGCCATGATTGATTATATTGCGATATTCTTTTTGTTTTTTAATACAATTGTTTAATACATATTTATGAGATGTTAATTCATGCGTGGTTGCTCACATGGAACTACTTTTTCAGGTCCTTCTTCAGTTTGGCGATAGCCGAAAGGTGTTTGATATCAAAGAATCTGATGATATGAATGAAGTGATTTCAAAAATAAAAAGTATGTTTGCCATAAATGCTAGCAGCGATTTGTTCCTTCAAGAGTATGAAGAAGAGTGGAATGATTGGGTCGATGTCGAGGGCGTGGATCACATTAAAGACAGAGCAAAATTACGAGTACATGTTCGTGTTGACCAGGCTGCAGTCAAGGAAAAGCATGCTGTAAGCTTTATCTATTTCAAATCAGAGGTTATAAATATTTCATTTCCATCGTCCCTGTTTACAATTAAAGTAATTAAATGTAAAAGCCAGTATAGATAATTACATCACCCAGTCAAAATGTCACATCTTGGTTTGTTTACAAAGTATGCAGTTCCATTTTTTAGTTACTTTAGGACATAGGTCTGTTGGTACTATTAAAAATCAGAAAAGTGTTACGGACTGAAGTTGAAATAAACTAGTCTTACTTGGTGATGTAAATATGAATAATGGCCATGAGTTATAAACGGATGTCAATTCAAATAAAAGTTATCTGTAGCATAACAATTCATGATAAGATACCAGTATTTCCTTGTTTTGCTGCATTGTTCAATAGTATCAGTTGAGACAGTCTTCAAATTTTTATATACTTTCCAGATAAATTACATGACATTTTTCTATTAAACGGACGTTACATTTTGAAGTTGTTGCTTCTTGCTTTTTACAACTTTATAATTCCTGTATATCCCTATTTTAATTCTTGTTTGACCAATGCCTTGACCTTTTTCTGGAAGGGGAGGGGGATGGGGAATTTGCACTCTTTTGACCAGCAATAACGTCCCTGGGGTCGGGCATTTGAACAGAAAAAATGATCTGAGTTCAAATCCCCCGCCTATGCCCGGCCTCCCCCCCCTGCAGCTTAACATTGATAGGTGCATTACCGCTGGAAGCCCTTTCTGCGGTTCAAACGTGAACTGCAAACTGCAAACGTGACCGCAAGGCCGTGGTCACGTGACATTTTGCGGTTTGCGGTTTGCCGTTTCCCATGAAAAACCTGATGCTAATAGAACCTGATGGACGATCCAAACTCATTCCGACGAACTTAACTGAGCCAGACGTCGAACTTTTCAGGCCCGTAACCACGATTTTATGTGGGTGGGGTGCTAACGAGGCTAAAGTGGACCGAAATGTATTTTTTATTGTCTGATCCGTTTATTTACGAAAGTAGCAATACATGAGAAATTGTAACGGCAAAGTACGTGGTAGGAACTGAATATTACATTTGTCGAATACAACTGTTTAAATTAAGTTATAGAGGAGTAATTTTACGATGTAAAATGATACATCAAAATACTGCGGAACTAATCCCTCAGAATAGTCCCGAGCTCCAGCCTCCGTGGGTGTTTGGTGGCAAATCTTCATCCAAAACAATTTTAGCTTGATAATGTATGTGCATTAGTGAGAGGGACGACAGCCTTTCCTGGCCCATGCACGCCCTGTTATATGTATGCAGCCGCCTTAAAGAACTCGCACTTCTTTCACATTCACAGCTCATTGCAGGGATTGTGGGGTTTATCTTGAGGAGCGCATATATATTTGGAAAGAGATCATCATCGCACTCCTTAAGCGTGCGCACGTTAATTTCATTATTCATTTAGATAAGCTCGGACATCTGTGCGCTCATTGAAATGTTCTGAATGACTCGGGCAACTAGAGTGCAGCTGGTTTTATTTTCCCAGTGAATACACTACTGCTTTCTCCATTCTTTGATTTTGTTTAAATATCACTGTTAAGTTTGAAACTTCAGTTTAACCGACTGCACTCCTTAACTTGGATATTAAGTATCAAAATGCGGACCTTTGGGGCCTGTGGGGAAGGTGCGAACGCACCCCGTGCACCCCCCCCCGGTTACGGGCCTGCTTTTCATGAACTTAACTTACTAAGTTTGGTTCGTCTCATGAAAAGTTCGCCTTTTGGCCTATGCCTAAAATAAATATCAAGTGATTAACTGACCAATGTTAGTGACGAGGAGATTTTTCTTTTTTTATTTTTTCCCCTCCTCTTTGCCAAAGTGATAGCCTTCAATTCGTTTTCGTTGGTGAAACCATTTGACCCAGCCCTTAAGCTACTCGAGGAAGGGCGTAGCATTGAGTTGGCTATAATCATCTCATATCTAGCAAGCGCGAACGGAAATGACAAAAGCATCGATGATCCTGCCAACTTCATTTTGTTAAATAAAACCGAAAAAGACAAGAAGGGACTTCTGCTTTTCACATTTCACAGGTGCTATCGTTTTACTTAAAACTCGTATAAATCGTAGTAATCGGGATACAAAAATTGATCTGCGGTGTGTAGCTTAAATACGCGCGACATGTTATTTTCAGATCGTGTTCGCGCTTTCTCAAGAGCCTTATTTCTGTCGGAGCCTGGAACAGGCCAAAACGGTTTTGAAGTTATTCAATAGGATTGAAGTGGATTTGTCACGGTTTTCTAGTTCATTTTGGTGAAATACGCTTCCTTATTCCTTATCGACGTGGTCTTCCAACCATACGTTTCGATGGCGCCGCCATTGAAAGTATTAATGTTAACGAAGAAATTACTCGTAATCGACAAAATCACAGCTTATTGCCCAACAGAATATATTTGCCAAGCATTAAATCAAACGGTTACAATAAATTGGACTTGAAAAACAGTTACGCAAACACTGAAGTTTATGAAAGCCACAATCTTCGTCAAGTTCGCCCATGCCTTTGTTTTTATAGGCGGTGTTATTTATTTGGCTTCTTTAACGTTTTGAACCGTTATTTGTTTTGTTTCACTCAATTTCAGTGGTGGCAGTTCTTACTGTTAGAATTTTTAGAAAACTCTTGACTCAGCTCCTTGAAGTTCGCCTTTCCACTATCCAAACCTTGCGTATTTTCCAGAAATCTATCTTTGAGTTTATGTTGCGTCTCGACTAGCTTTACAGGGCCTTTTCCGGTAGTGCTTTTGACTTTAGTTGATAACTTCTTTCAGCCCTGTCAAGAATTTTAGCACACGTGTCGCGTAATAAATGATATACCAAATTGGAGGCCTGGCTAAAAGACGTTTTATTTCTATCATTATTGTTATTCCCAACTTTTTAATATTAATTTTCCTCTTCGCTTTTTCCTCCAGTTGTTCCGCTAAACTTCGCAAAGTTCTGTGAGACCGATGCAACTTTAGGCTTTCCGCGAGCATTACTTTTTTGTGTACTCTTTTATATTTGTGAGGGTATCCGACTCCTTTCCATAATTATCTTCCTTTCAATAAGGTTGTTTATCAAAAATACTCGAGATTAATGCATGATATCTGCAGTTGCGCTTTGGTCATCCCCTGATGATCTTTGGAATTTAAATAATGCTATTATAATAATGACGTATACTTCCATAATTGAGAGCAAAGCTGGTAATTGCCAAAAATAAAATTAATTTAACAAAGGATGTATATTTTCCCGTCCACAACTTAAAAAGAGGGGTGACAAGTTATTTCGTTTAACTACAAAACGTCTCCAAAACGTGTCGTTTGTAAATTAAATATATTTCGAATCCATATTTTGCTCCATCTCTTTCCTTCCAAACAATAATTTTACATTACTGGTATATTTAAGTGCTGTGAAATAAATTAAAAGAAGCCTTGAAAATTAAATACCAGTGCCTGGATATCTTGTTTTGTGATGGGTTTTGTTCTTTTAATAGACTATTACTATCTATTACCGGTTGGCGTTTCTAAATGAAATGATATAGGGGCCATAAAAAAGCGGTAACAAATTAAGAAGGCAACATTCCGCGATCGTAGAAGCCATGTTTCACAATAGTGTTGAACACTGATGAAAAAACTGAACGGTCTCGTTTTAAGAGTCTTGTATCAGTCTGAAAATACCGTGTATAATACACAAGGCGAGTAAAATTGGTGCTAAGAACATCACGCGGATTTTGGAAAAAATTACCGATCTCCAATTCTCGAGGCGAATCTCAAAGTCTATCTTTTCTGTCGATTATACATGTTGAAGACTTAAAGTATCGTTTCATCGATCTCGGGGTCTTCACAATTATTCTTTCCCAATATTTTCCAATATTAAGGTTTTTATTAAGCTATCACGATGAATTCATAAAGATAAAATGCGAGAATGACCAAAGAAACCTCCTTACCTTTTCTTGAATCTCGACGTCTGGGAATAAAATATGCTTTGCTAAGCGTTTATATCGGTTCCGGGAAAACTACCGGAAAAGGAAAACTGAAACATTCCTTGAAAAAGCGATGTACCCGAGAGCTCTGGGAACGAGATAGAAGCCACCACGAAACGCCGCTGACAAAGTGCGGCTACTGCCTCGTATCCAGACGTCTCTCTCTCTCTCGATGAAAATGTGCGCGCAAAGGAAGGCGGGAAGATGCCGTCTGTACCCTTCCCATGGTCCCTTGCGGTGCATCACCAGTCAGTCGCGTTTCGCGCTCGCCTCTACGACGCGAAAAATGAAGCGCCTGAGGAGGAGGCTGGTGCGGCTACATAGCTGGACGGACGCGTGTCATCCTGTTTTTGACTGACTCCCAAAACACTATTATTCATCACAAGAAAGAAAAAGTTTACATGTTGTCAATCAAAAACATCTTACAGCTTAACAATTTATTCTTTTGATAAATCGAACATTTTTCATTAAAAGTGGATGATACTATCCAGGTTATTTGGGTTAAGTTTTTGTACGCTTGTTAATTTGGTTACTATATATTCTCGGTAAATGAACGAATTCAGTGCAGTAAGTTCCGTGTAATCTACCACTACTACTTCGGCTACCCGGCTCCGGCTATTAAGGTGGCTCGATACAGTTTTTCAAGGCCAATACCTCCCAAGTTTGAGTATAAACTACGTCGCCATAAACAAAGTTTTGGAAAAATTGCCACCACAGTTGCATTAGATAAAGATGAAAATTTGTTTTGATCAGGGTTGCAATTACATCGGAGTTGTCATAGCAACGAAATGACGCTATTAACTATTTTACTTGCAGCAGTATATCTCAGCACTGAGAACTGTTCTTCCAAAATCGATCACGGGAGCGTTTTCCTCCAATAGCGGCCTCGACGTTCGTACAGTTTAAGCGAAATCTGTAAGAGCGTTATCAAGATATTTTGGGATGAAGTTTTTATGGTTAGAAACACAGTAAAAAATGGACAATATTGTTGTTTGGCCGTTATCTGTAGAATATGAAGCGCTTTTTACATGCAATTTAACCTCATAGCAGTTTCAATCTTTTTAAAAACGTGTGTGAAGGATCATGAAGATCGCTTCAGCCGATTGCTAGAAAGAAGGGTTTTATTAGTATGTATCGAAGCGCTCTTGTTAGCGGTTTTGTAAACATTTTGGTCTTCTTTAACAAATTAGCAAATAATTTTGAAACCGCTCGATAGACTTTTTTTAAAATTTAAGATTCTTGAGATTAACCTTTCTTTTATATGACCTTTTAGTTTCAAGATTATTGATACATTGTAAGGCAGTAAAATAAGAGCTACAATTCGTTACTTTTCTATCGGAAGTTTCGTTATTACAAGTGAAAATCTCTCATTATTCAAGGCATTGTCTCCAAGTTTCATTTTCACGTGAACAACAGTAACTAACAATGCATTTGAAATATGCACAAATGCTAGCTATTGTTATGCGCGAAAATATGAACCTTGGAGACAATACCCTGAATAATGAGAGGCTCACATTTGTAAACACAAAATTTCTGCCAAAATATTGGCGAATTTTAGCCCTTATATTACTGCCTTAAAATATATCAATCATCTTGAAACTAAAGGGTCATATAAAAGGAAGGTTAATCTCAAGAATATTAATTTTTTAAAAAAATCTATCGAGCGGTTTAAAAATTATTCGCTAATTTGTTATATAAAGTAGACCAAAATGTTCAAAAACCGCTAACAAAAGCACCCCGAAACATACCAATCAAATCCTTCTTTCTAACAATCGGCTGGAGATATCTCCACGGTCTTTCACACACGTTTTTAAAAAGATTGAAACTACTATGAGGTGAAATTGCATGTAAAAAGCGCTTCATTCTCTACAGATAACAGCCGAACATCAAGATTATCCATTTTTTACCGTATTTCTAACCATAAAATCTTTATCCCAAAATATCTCGATAACGCTCTTACAGATTTCGCTTAAACTTCACGAACATCGAGGCCGCTATTGGAGGAAAAAGCTCCCGTGAATGATTTTGGAAGAACAGTTCCCAGTGCCGAGAAATACCTCTGTAAGTAAAATAGGTAATAGCGTCATTTCGTTGCTATGACAACTCCGATGTCATTGCAACCCTGATCATAAAAGATTTTCATCTTTACCTAATACAACTGTGGTGGCAATTTTTCCAAAACTTTGTTTATGGCGACGTAGTTTATGCTCAAACTTGGGAGGTATTGGCCTTGAAAAACTGTCTACTTCTTCTGCTTCTGTTACTGCTTCTTCTCCTTCTAGTCTTGTTTTTCTAAAGGAAGATTTAAATCTGCGAGCAGATGTTGAAGCAACAAGCGTCATATTCTGCTTACGAAAAATGGAGGGAAAATTAGGAAATTTACGAGTGGACACCGCGTAAATTTGGCAGTTCGCTCCGCTCACTTGGAAGCTCTCCAATACTTCTGTTATACATTATACGGAAGCATTTGTTTTCTTGCATAAGGTTATTATATAGGTGATTTATAAAACACATATAAATTATTTCGCATCCCTAAAGGCAAGCAATTATTATTAAAATAGGAGGTAAATTAAAAATACGGTATTAGACGAAAAAATAATTTTGAACCTCAGTTCAATTAAATTGTTACTTCTGCAAGGATCTAATCAAGAGAATTACTGACAATATATATCTCGCCGATTTTTTGAAAACCAACCTAACGAAATGTGCAGTCATCAGAGTGAAAAGGCGTCAGAAGGCACAGGTTTCTTAAGCCCGAGAAGCTCCAAAATCACAGTAACGAAAGAAAAAAGGAGAAAGAGAAAGAGCGAGGAGAAGGAAAGGAGGAGAAGAAAAAAAAAACAATAGTTGCACTCTTAGTTTTTATAATGACTACTTTTGGCAGAAAATAAATCTGTTGGACGCAAAAGATCCATTTGGCGATAATGTTTTCAGTTATCCAGCTAGATATGTTTTGCACCTATAAAGGTCCCGGGAGAACTCCCATATGAAAGGGGCGGGGATGCTCGTCGGAAATTTTGAGTTAAACCGCTAAAATAAAGGAGACCAATCTGGGCGTGGCCGAACCATCTTTTACCCCTAAAAGAGACCATTTTAAACTTTGAATACATAAATCAAGTAAACTTATATATATATTTTAGTATATACTAAAACAGTGGATAGTGTTTTTCACGCGCTCTGATTGGCTACTCAATTAGTGAATATCCTGCACTATTCACTGATTCACCTCCAGTTCCTCCAAGCGAGCGAAGCCAAACTCGCGTAAGTTGCGGGCAAAATGCCTTCCCGGTTTACTCTTCTACTAGCCACCTCCACTTCGGTGAATAATTGTTATTTAGTATATACACACTCAGTGATCTTGGTGATTTAAGCAACCTGATTGGTTCGCTATCTCGGACTATTCAGCAATATTCACCTCCTAGCGAGTGGATAATAGGGCCATTTACACGAGGAAAAATTAGACGCGTCTTACATAAGACGCGAACTGTACCATTTATACGAGCATGTCTTATCTAAGACGCGAACAGCTCGTATAAATGGTTCGCGTAGCAATGGCAATCCAACGTGGCGCGCCAAAAATTAACGCATGCGTACTATGCGTTCGCGTCTTATGTAAGACGCGAAGGTCATTTATACGAAGTTTTTCTAGTCTTAGCTAAGACGCGTCTTATCTAAGAACAGGTGTTAAGGGCTGTTCTAAAATAAGACGCGTCTTAGCTAAGCCGCGTCTTATTTTAGACGAAATGTGCCGTTTATAGGGAAAGTTCACGTCTTATTTAAGACGCGACCTATGTAAGAGGCGTCTTATTTTTCCTCGTATAAATGGCCCTAATGTGTGAGTTCGCTTTTTTCCCCATTTTTTTAGAGAAAGATCTTTCAAAAGTCGAAAAAACTGGGTTGACTTTTTTCCAGGCAAGAAAAGACTTCGAAGGATTGAAAACGGCGTTCTTCCATTTACTGTAGTTGAGTTTTGTGGTCGATGGATTGTTTACAACTCCCGTCTATTCGCCTAGAAGAGGCCGTTTCGTGAACTCAACGTTTCCTAACAAGATAAAATTTGGCCCAAAAACGAAGTTTATTTATGACAAACAAATTTGAAAGCAAATGTTTGCAGAAATTCCATGTTTCAAGTGAAATAGGAGAAAGAATGCTACATGAAGACGACGTCTTACCTCGAGGAACCGAATCGCCATTTTTGTCAGCACTTCATGCGAAGAACGACACAACAAACCTTTTCGGTTATAAACTTGGCGAGTCAACAGAAAACAACAAATCTCTTCTTTTCTTCTCAGGTAAGGAAACAATTCAAACTTTTAGCGGTTCCATTGAAGTTATTACGCCGTTGTTTGCGAAGTGATAAGCTTGTGAACTGCCATGTTTGAAAATTCTGCAAAGATCTATTTTTAAACTTTCGCGTGTCTAGCTGACCTAATCTGTCAATAAAATCGTACTTTTTAATGGTTTTCTCTCAAGTCTATTGTTCTGATCACTTTGATCGTCCCAAAAAATGCAATGGAAAAAAGGAAAATTAAATAACATTTGAGAAATCTAGATTGTACTATTCTACCTAGTATTACTCTGTACAGTGCGTCATTCTACAAGCGCGAATTACTGCAGCTGCGTATTGCTGCCCGCTTCCCGTCAAAACCTGAGGGTTTCTATAGGCAAGCTTTTTCATATCAATCATCTTCTCCACCATTTCCTCAGAGGGAACTTCACCACAAGCGATGGTTTGAATCGTTTTCTTAACTACAGGACCTAACTTCTCCGCCAAAGCTGTCCTGATTGATTCGTCTTCCCCGTGCAGCAAGCGGAGCTCATCTTTGAGGTTTTGAATGGCCTCTTTTACTATTTGCTTTGATCGTCTTTCTCTCTTCTCGAATGCACAGGCGTCCTGAGGGTAATAAAGTCTATATTAACACATTTTAAAAACCGTAAAACCGCCTATTAAGTGATCGGCCGTTCTTAGAGACAGACAACGTCAGTATGAAGCTTTGCTCTACTCTTATCGAGAAAATGGCCAAACTAACTTCTGTAAAATAAAGTGATTGTTCCGTGAGCGTCCTGGTTAAGAAAGAGGATAGTCTTTTATTTATACCACTTACTAACTGAGATTGACGACCTTACTACGTTACTGACCAAGTGTTTTTTCCTTTTTGCAAAAAATAGAGGTTCCGTGATTGTATCATCGATATACAGTGCGGAACGAGAAAACGCATTTTCTTAGATTATAATGTATCTCATGTATCTCTGAGACTAAGAATAGATTTAATTTCAAGTGGGAGGCCTTTGCGCATTTGGCTCCAAAATCGTAGATTTGAGTCGTTAAAAAACAAACAAACACGCAAACGCCTTCTCTTCACAGTAAGGCTTTTCCTGTAAATCACAAATGTAACCCACGACACCTTTTGGAATGGGGGGAAATGGGGTCAGTACAATAAAACAAACCCGATCAATAAGAAATATCGCTCTCAATCAAAGCGTGCGTACTATCTCTCTAAGGGCGCTTTCCGTTTGTCAGAACTGGCCAGCCAGACCATGGCTGCACCAGTCCCTTTGAAGATGAAATAGGCTTTTCCCAAGAGTTTTTGCTAAGCGTTCTCCTTCGTGCATACTATTTAGGATTTGACTGCTCTGGCTGGAGAGTTTTAATTAAAAGGGAAATTATCATTGCGACGGGAATGGTCTAACCAGTCCGGGTCAGTTCTGGCAATGAGAAGCGCCCTCAAGTGTATATCAGGCTTAGTCTAATATCCTCATACGCACTCGTACTTTCCACCATGTCACTAACCGGCAAATACCAAAATATCTGACTCCGATGCAATATCGGATTGCATGGATTTAACCAAACTTCAAGTGTGTTAACGACGTTGACAGCAAGAACAAAACTCATCACAGGTTTATTTAACTTACCTCAAACTCTTTAAACTGAAAGTTTTCAACATTCTCCTCCGTCAAAATGACAAATTCTGTTAAATTGAACCGAGCTGGCCACAACGCTGCATCTATCGGCTGGTGCTCGAAGTAGTCCTCCTCCGGTGGAACAATCCCTCGATGCAGCATCCACTTCCAGGGATAGGGAAGACTTTTTGCTAAAAGCAAACATCAGATAACGGGGAGATTACATTAAGTTCTAATAAATGTATATGATGATTACCTGGAATATTTAGTTTGGACCTCATATCAACAATTCCGTAATCTCATCATGATTTCATTTATTTAGCGGTAGCTAAAAAATTTTAATGTTCGTACCAACATAATTATCTCAAGACTGGATTGACAATACAGAGTTGGCGAATCTACCTCCCTGGATAGGGTCCGATTCCAGACCAAGGAGTTCCAGCTGGACATCATGCTGTGAGGTTGTACCGTGGAAAAAATATAAATTTAGTACTTTCCATGATATCGATTGCATGATATATCACGTACATGGTGGGACGGACATTATATCTCCTAGAATGGCGTGATTTAACAGGATTACATATATATGTTACCTGGCTTCACGAATCCCTTTATCCAGTCAAAACCAGGGCTTTCATTAGACAAGACAATTCTGGGTACCAGCTTCTCGACCAAAAGCATCTTATAGAAAGCAGCCCACAGCTCATCTGTTACGTACTCATGGCCACTCGTGTACAGTTCAAACACGTACATACCAGCCTCAAGTAGTTTCACTTCCACATTCTCAACTTCCTTTCGGTTACCATTTTTATCCTCCGTAAAGACAGGCAGAATCCTGTTGTCTACAGACAATGCACACAGGACAGGTTTCTCTGAGTGGAAGCCGTTGGGAGCGTAGCATCCTTAAAGACAAATGTGGTTCGTCAAATGTTTATCAGTAAGCTGTAACGCAAAGCCTTAAATCTCCCAGCCACATTCAACACGATGCTCCTTTAAGGTGATCCTAACGTTTACATAAGGTGCGCTCTAAAATCGGGAAATGCCCAATGTGGGGTTTTCCTTGCATCCAGGTTGAGTCACCAAAGTTTAAACATGATCAGTTTTCAGTATTAAGGCTTGTCCCAAATCTTCCAAACCGGCGTTAATACATCTCCACCATCATCAACAAACCTACAACCACTGTTTTATAATGCTTAAAGCGACATGACAAATATTATTCACCTTCCCAAGTGTGTGTCATGTGTGTGTATTTTTTTTTCAACCTCACCTGGAATACTCTCTGAGCACAGTTTCACGTTTTCGAGAAAGCGATTTTCCCAAACAGCGACAAATTTTGTCATTTGAGCTTTCTTCTTTCCATTTGCCTCTGAGGTCTGGAAGAATAATATAAATAATGAATCTGAGTATTCTTTAAGTTGAGGCTGGGAATCGTAAGCAGTCAGCAGTCAGCAGTCAGCAGCTCGACTGAATCGTAGTCGGATGAATCAGAACGTTGTTGTCGGATGAATCAGAACGTCTTCTGACTCCTCCGTGACTCCATCGTTTACGATCTAGTGAAAACGAGATTGTCGGAGTCGGAAGCAGAAGCGCAAGGATAAACCAATCACGATGCACGTTCCCACGCTTTGTGATTGGTTTAGTTCTTCCGCTTCTGCTTGCGACTCCGAGACTCAGTTTTCACGTCATCGTAAGCGGAATTAGAACGCTGTTTTCACTAGATCGTGAAGTCCTACCTTCTGATTACGACTCCGACTCCGTCGACAGTGAAAACCAGCCATTAGTACTGTAGTTGTAAAATTTGGCCACATATGGAATGAACAACTGACAAAGCAGATCGACATATATAAATATCAATACACACTTCCAAGTGTTGAAAAAAAGCATTTTTGCAGTATGCACGCGTACTGCGGTAAGAAGGCAACTAGGAATATCGCAAGACTTAAAACAGTTTTCGTAACTTTGACGTGACTCTCTTTGTTTAATGGCCATGGTAGATTTGTTAATGGGTTATACTGCATCAGGTGCTGCTGATGATTATATATAAATGACATTAGACCAAAAATTTATTGATTTACCGAACGTTTTTCGTGTGAGTAAAATACTTTAAATGAGTATGGCGTAAGGGAATAAAACAGGGTCAAATAAACATGTCCCATCGATGAATTTGATTATGTTTTCTGTCCGCCCCTATTTATATCCACGAAATTTACTCCGACCCATTTGTTGTCAATATTTCCAAAGCAGGACGAGAAAAAACAGAGGTGGTAACTAAGATTTTTCCGAAAGACTCATTGTTTGCAAGTTCTTTACTTTTACGCTGGAACTTATTTGTAACTTATTGGGAATCACGTTATTCACTTATGTGACTGAAGCTAGTCCCTTATAATGTATTCCTAAAACGAGAAAGGAAATTAAACAAAACGCAAGTTGATTCTCTTACCTCGGTGCCCTTGTACAACGTTCTAATCCTTGCACGATGTCGCTGTTCCATGCGTATCATCTGTTCAATACCCTGTTGGAATCTTTGGTCAAGAAAGTTCTTATTTACTCGGTTGACCGTTTCCTTGACAGCAGAAACCTGCTTCTCCATTTCCTTTAAGGAAGCGTGAAGGCCAAAAAGGTCCTGCGTACGCACGTCGTTTTCGCCAACTTTTATGAAGGCAACACCAAGTATGGAAAGAATGTCCCTCCACTCACTCCACAAGCGTCTCAGTACTTGGGTCAGTTTCTTTATATATCTTCTACTGTCTGGTGAATCGAGTTTCCTAAGGTAGCCGGAGCACTCCACATTTGGAGAAGACCATAAATCTGGGTGTCCTTGACTTTTTTGATTGTACCCTGAAGCCTGTAGCTGCGCCATGAGAGCTTGATTGTTTTCCAAGGATAAAATGCGATCTTGAATTTTCGTGTGCACACGGAATAAACGCTCCTGGCCTTGATCCTTGGAGTGTTCTGAAAAGAGGAGACGAACAATCTCCAGCGTAAAATAGGCAAGGTTTGGTTTTAAGACAACTCGGGATAACCACCGCCGTAACAAAACCAGTAATGGCTGATAGACTTCACGGTGACTCATGATCAGTTGAAGGTTCTCATGCACATAGGATGACTGTCTCGAGAAGGCCATCGACCCCTGCGAGCCTCCATACGTGTCAGCAGCTCTTTGTTTTATGCAAACATTATGTGCATCATCGTTCAGTTTGTGCTGCTTGCCAAAAACCTCAGTGAACAAAGCTTTAAGCTTCTCTTCTTGAATTATGTACAATTTGTTTCTTCTTGCTTGATTTTCATGCGCTTCGCAAAGCTCTTTACAGCTATCGACAGCTATTCCTTTGATGACAGCATCCTTGCGATTTTCTTCAGGTTTCAAAAATTTCAGTATATTGATAAACTCACCGAGTAGTTTTGCAAGTCGAAGACGCTCTTTAGTTTCTTCACTTTTGATACCTTCTTTTTGTGAAACTTGAAAACCATCTGTGGGGAAGATGCATGTTTTGATTGTTTCGGACAACTGAGAATCGACAAGTTTCAATGCGCCGGCGTTCAGATCAAGAATTGAATCGACATCACGAGCTGAAATATCTTCAAGTGGCGTCATGAGGAATGCTACACACCAGCAGTCAATACCGTTAGAAGAATAGCCGCCTGCTAACATTGTCTGACGCCACTGAGGCAAGCGATTAAAGCCATAAGGATCTTCTGGGTCGTATAGCTTACTTAGATAATCAAATCTGTCGAGCACTTCCTCACACGAGTTGCAAAACCGACCAAATGCTTTAAGTAATTGCCACACAAATTCCTTATGCACAGGATTTAAGGCGTTGAACTCCTCTTCTCGACATTGCCTTTTAAAACGTTCCACTAGGTTTAGTTCCTGCTGCTTGCATGACCAGAAGGACAGCACCTCCCCAACTGCGACTCCGGCTTGCATATTGGTTTGAAATAACTCAAGGGCAGCTGTTTTCACTTCAATACGTAATCTGAACTCAAGAAGATTACTCAGGGCTTTTACTTGTGGAATCAGAAGCCGAAAGCATGAGACGGGAACTCGCAGAGACATCATGGGTAACACAGGCGAAACCCTTGATGCGTCCAAACGCATTTTTTCCATTGTTGCACCTACAGCACCTTGAAATTTGAACACAGCTTCCTTGGAAACGTCGTCTGTAAAATAGCTAGGCTTACAGGCATTCAAAATAACCTCTGAGCACTGGCAGACGTGGTGCCTGCTTTGTTTAATCCAATGGAATAAAATGTCTGTTGACGAGCTCTCTGATAGAATGGACAGAATCACATCTAGGTATGAGTCATACGAAGCAGGTAAACTTTCTTGACATTCCTGTTCCCAACAGTACGGAATTGATGTTATGACAAACACACGGTGCCAAAAGGAAAAAGCCTTTTCAGTGAGGTCCTCGTCTTCTCTGATCAGACGTTTCAAGTTGAGAATGACTTTCTCTGCAATAAAAAGAGGAGTTAGATTTTTACCAGGTGACTCAGTGACGGAAGAGGCATTCCTTGTAGATCCTAGTGTAGCATTAGTTATTGCTTCATCGGTGATATCATTCTCTGTTTCTGATTCACAACTTTGAGGTACAAATTTGAAGCAGTTATCTTCAATGTACACATCTGAGAAATCGTGGAAACATTTCAATTGTAGATCATCACAATGGAAGATCAAGTTGAACGCAAGAGCTGCTTCTTCTTTTGCAAGGGGGGAATGAAGAACAAGCCACTCAAACTCACAACAGCGAACTCTCCTTAACATATCCCTTGGTTTTGCGCTACTAAGCCCCAATGAACAACATAAGGCAACACATTCATTCGCTCTCTTAAGAATGTCTTGCAGACGTGCGATCAAAACACTTCTTTCCGCTGGTGTCTTGCAAGTCGTGTACACTTTCCAGAGAAGTCGGGGGATTTCCAAATAGGACAAGACTTTTACGTTTGGTGAAAAATCCCATTTCATGACAACCTCGTTAAGAAACAGACGTCTCTCTTGTCCGCCAACTCTGTTTACTAGAAGTTGCCCAAAACTGGCCACGGTCAAAGGAACCAATTCTGAAGGAGTAGCGCGAACAATGCACACCAGTTCCTTCAGAATTTGCAACACATGTTCCACCGCATTTGAATCTCTGATAGCTATCTCAAGAACTGTCAAAAAAGTTTCAAAGAAAGTTTGATCTAAATCCTCAAGCGAACCAATAAAATGATAAATTTCTGCAATATTGTTCGCGGAAAAAGAATCAGAATTCATTTTCGAAACAACTTTGCACAAAGAGTGGGCTTGAATTTTCGACAGTTGAGCCATGATTGTCCGGTTGTCTAATATGGATTCAATATGGTTAAACTCCAAATGCAACAGATGTTCATTGTTAACACAACAGTGATTGTTTTGCAAACATGACAAGGGAATCAAGTTGCTTAAGGCGTTTTCCATCGACTGCTCTAATAACCTTTTCGGACATTTGAGAAACATGTCACTCACTTTTTTGAATAAGAGCAGTTTTTCCGGTCCAGTTAACGCTTTTGACCTCATGATAACTTCTACAGATGAAACAAACGTTTCCGGCACAAATTGGGATCCACAATGATTAGTAAAATCGTGAATGTCGTTTCCTTCTGTCAACAACTCGACCACTGTTTTGGCGCTCGACCTTAATTCGGAAAAAAATTGTAACATCTCAGATGAACTTAGGCCTGACGCTGCGTTTAGAATAGGGCAACAACAGTAACCGTCGATTTCTGCCTTGAACGAACCTGAGAAAACAAGTTGGGCAAATTTAGTCCAGACTTGCAATGGAGGCCTGTAAATGTGAACATACAAACAAAACTGTTCACATAAATCTTTTTTGCCTCCTAGAGTTCCACCAAAAACAGAAGCAAGAATGTCAAAATACCCATCCGCTTCTTCATTTCTGAGGCAGTCATAGTTTAGGTGCAAAAAGCTTGAAATTCGTCTACTGTTCACTAAGCCCTCTTCGGATTCTTTTGCCATCTCCAGAAGTTTTAATCTTCTGTCACCCGAGATCGGAATCTGTGATATTAAGGAAAATAGCTGCGACACGTTAAGAGGAATGCTCTTTATGGGTCTCTTCTTGTCATCAAATCGTTTCACAAAATCAAGAATCGCAGAAAAGATGTCATCCTTATGATCTAGGGTTTGGTTTGAGATGACATTTTCAACACAGTTCTGAAAATCCACTTTTGATGAACCCTGCAAGAGTTTGGCAAATCGAGTTACATCATGAGCAATGACTTTCTTTTTCCTAAATGGCAGTTCTTGACTCAAGGTCAGCTGTTTAATGACGTTTATTGAAAAATTCCAATTGTTGACCAATACTCCACCATCGGTGCAGCACAGGAGCAGCCGAATCATTTCGATTTTCCTTTCTTCGCTGAAACTCTGTTGGGAAATCCATGTTAAAAACTGCCTTTGTGGAACATGTTCCAGCGTCACATAGTCTTGACGCACCTCAGAGAGAACTCGTGTTGCTAGCACAGTTTTGTGGATGAAAACTAATGCCTCTGGACGTTTATGAAATGATGTTGGAAATGCCCTTATGAAAGGTGACAGGAATGGAACCCAAAAGCTAGTAGAACGGAGCAAATAGGGAGGAAGCCAATACAAGAAATTCAGTGTTCTTTCTGCTCTTTCTTGAAAACCACAACGATCTCCAATGTTGGATTCTTCCACGAACAGGGCCAATAAATTTCTACAATAAAGATAATCGGATTCAGTCGAAGAGGTTTCCCTCCAGAATTGTAACACCCTTCTGACTATCTTTCCATCTGGAACTACCGATAAAACTTTAAAGACATTGTTAAAGGCTATTGCTTTGTCCTCTATGAATTGTTGAGAATCTTGTGCCTGTTGTTTCTCTTCCTTTAAGAACTGCTCCAGAATCTCCTGCAGAACATCGGTAGGAATGCTTGTTGTAGCTAGAAGCTTTAGTGAAGTTATTAGAATTGACGCAGTTTTGTTTTGGCGAAAATGGTGCATACTTTTGAAGAAAATTTCCAACCTTTCCTCGTCATCATCTGGAAGGCAAAATTTGCTGTCGCTGTTGCTCATTTCCTTCAAAACTTCAACAAAACCGCAAACAACTGATTCATAAACATTTCGTGAGTGAACAGATGGCTGAAGACCAGGATGAACCAGCTGAAAATACTCTTTAACGTGCCTTAATGTGTCCTGCTTAGCTAAAGCTGAGGCAAAGCCACTATTGATATTTTCTAATTTCAGCAAGTTGATCCATTTTGTCAGTAAAAAAGGCGATACCAGGTAATCGCTTCGCAAACACACATTTCCGACCAAATGCTCTTCAATACAAGATGCCTTGGCGTCCGCAGAAGCAAATCTCTTTGTTTGATCAATGATTTCTACAATGTAGCCATCATCTCGTCTTCTTTCAAATACCTCGAGGAGCTCAACAAATAGATTTTTAGCACTTTTGAAATAGTACTTTTGGTTGGCTTGTTGCTCTTTTTGGTCGCAGACAATGGTAGCAAGGTTTCCTTCTTGAAATATCTGAACAAGTTCAAGTAGACTGGAAAGAACCTTAGTTGCAAGGCACCGTGTTGGCTGAGGACGAAAGCAGAATTTCAAGGCAAAGGCATAACACTCAAAAGCAACTCTTTTTGATACATCAGTGGTATAGCAAAAAGAGAAGCATATCTTAAAAAGGTTTATCACGTCTTCGAGAAATTCGTAACTTTCAGTTGTAAATGTTTGCAACGGAACAACGCCTAACCTGAAAATCTGAATAATATGTCTGTCCTGTAAGCGATTGACGTTTTCAAAGAAGACGGTTCTCTGGTTTTCGTCATGAAAGGGAAGTGCCTCCAATTCTGTAAGTACCGTTTTAAACTCTTCATCTTCTGGTTTGATATTAAGGCTTGATATTTGGTCCACGCCTCTCTCGGAATCCAGTTCCTGAACGCTGTTCGGCATTTCTGTTGCGAAATGGCCATCTTCATCCATTGCCACCAGAAAATTCTTGATATTTACAAGTTCAGAGCAAACATTTCTGGGACGGTGAACACACGAGACCACATGTAGAGGACAACGCTACAAAAGGATGACTCGCTGCGAAAAGAAAACTTTCGTTAAACTTGAGGACTTAACAGAAGGAACTGACAGATGCATTTGTTAACCCATGGCCATTAGGGATTGAACCGGGATCAGCTTGTCATTCAACGAGATTTATACTGAGAAAGAGCCTTATTAATGCCGGTTTTGAGTTACACATTACAACTGTATTTAATTCATTTTTTTGTGATTTGCACAATTTAAAAAAAGAGCTGTCAAACTTCATGTGGAGCACGCGAAAAAATTTTAGTCGCGAAAGCGAAATTTCATGACACAATACCCGTTATTTTCCATATTTCCCGAAAACATAAGTGCGGAAACTGGCAGTCAGGTAAATTCAGCAGCAATTAATAACTTACAAAAATTCTAAAGGAGAAAAAAAAGACACACAGACAGACAGAAAAAAAGGGAAAGAAATAAGTGCAGGGAAAGGAACTGCACAGCGCTTCAAACATTTCCCCTCGGTGGACACCCCGCATGGGTCTAAATGTCCCGTTTGTGCTCTTCCCTTTTGGGCAGTAATTCTTCCTTAGTTTTTACGATGTATGTATATGTTGCAGATATGATAATTTAGTATGAGAAAATAGAAGGGATTCCCGTCAGGAGTTGGTTTAATTATTGATATTTTTTTAATAGTAAGCAGATCTAGTGTGGAGCACAAGAAGCCCGAGAATTGATTAAAAATTGTGAGTTAAACCTCTATGTATCACGCGATGGCCTGTCTCACCGTACCAAAATTATCATATCTCGGTGAGCATTCGGAAGTCAGCCAAGCGCGGTCATTGCACGCGTGCTGAACAAGAATCCTGTATCATGACAGACCAGAAACAATAGACAACTCCCAAAGCACAAACTCAGCCAAAACGCTAAAAATCTTCAATGTTTACTCAAGTTTGGGCTTATAGAAGATAATGTCACAGTTTTTCAATGACCATGAAATTCAGAATCCGGGTAGTTAGTTAATCAATTGAGGCCCTGAAAAAATTTGAAGGGAAAAAAACTGCGAATTTTTTAGAAAATGCTTTTTTCGTGAGAAGGACTCTTAAACGCTGACAAACGTCAACAAATAGCTAAAACTATAATTTCTATATGTTTGCTGTGCCCGAAATCGCGCGCATTTACAAGGCCCTAAAGCGTTTTGCTGACTTGCAAGGACCCCTCTGTTATAACCATGCCCAAAATAAAGGGATGAATCTCATAGTTTATTAGACATAATCGTGTAAAGTTTGCTTATCATTTTCGCATAAATTATGACCTAAATTTGGAAACCGCTGAATTTCTCGAATTGGGTCTTTGCGATTTTGGTGAAACTCTGTTCAGCGCAAGGCACTAATGCGCACTATGTGTAGCCTAGAGATTTTCACGAAAAATGCCGGCAATAGCAGATTTTCGACTCAGACCTCAAAGGGGCGTGGCATTATAACCACGTGACATTTTCTCCGATCGCCAAAAATTTTATGTTATATTGTAGATTGATCTATATGTTATCCATTCTATGTGTTAGCCTTACGATAAAAGTAAAGGTGGGGATACCAGAGAGCTTCAAAGAAGGATGGTACCCCCCCCCAAAAAACACTGGGTCGAGTCACCTTAAATGTTTGTAAATATATGTAGGAAAGTTTGAGATGAACACTAAGGTTTCTTAGGTGTTTGTCAAAAATGAATATTGTGTAGAAGATTTTTTTTAAATCTATACTAAACAGTAAAAAAAGAAATCTATACGCAGTCATGGTCTGAACCTTAAGCAGCCCCCACCCATGAAGCAGTGCAAAATCAGAGGGAGAGGGAGGGGGAAGGGTTCGTTGAGACCAGAGTGAGCATTCCTGGAAAAAATGAAATGATTTAGAAAAAACAAACAAACAAAATAAAACAACTACAACAACAACAAAAACAAAAGAAAAGAAAACAAACGGTAACAATAATTTTCAGTCTCATCAAGGACATTTTTCTTGATCCCTTAGTTTTGTTTTGCTACCCTGCAAATAGAGCATTTTCACATGACGTCATGGCAGCCATACTGGTGTTCCAAACAATAAAATGGCGGCCATGTTGTTGTCCCAAACCAATCCAAGGGAGTTGAACTCTTTTCTTATATGAAAACTTTGTTTTGCTCCAATAAATTTGAATATTAGCTACTGGCCGCGTGAGTGAAAACACTTTATAAGGTCCCCTCATCTTCCCAAAAAATTTGGGGACCATGTTTTAGCAGCAGTGTCGCTCAAAGATATTTAAAACAAATTTAGTGAACATTTGTAATGGTAATCCTTTAAAATTAATGTTCTTCACTTACACATGCAAACTTAAGATCATAGTTTTTCCAATGAGATAGCTCAAAGGATCTTTCTCTTCAATTACAACATAGGCTCTTTATCTCATGCCCCATTCACACCAACTAAACATGTTTGATTAAACCAGGTTTTAACAAAATGAAAAACAGAGTCATGGAAAACTGGAACACAGGGTTTCACACACGATTCAAATGAAATTCGACATGTTTTGTAATTTGCACTAAATTTGTGATCAATTTAAGTTAGTTAGCAGCTTTTATGGAGGAAAGAAAATTCAAAACCTTGTTTAACTAAACAACTCTTAAACATGTTTAAGCTTCGGTGTGAAGAGAGCGAGACTGGCGAGAGGGTGAAATTCACTTCCCGAGTTTACAGTCTTAAAACTGACTAGGCAGGAGGAGCGCACGCGGTCTGAACTCTGCAATGATAAATGACTGATGATAAATTCATTACTGTATGCATTTATGGTTCATGAAAGAAACGTAAATTAGAATGCTATGGTAGGGTGTCGATCAGCGATCATCAAGGACTAGTCGCAGTGAAATGAAATAAAGGCTGTGGTCAACCTGGTCAGATAACGCGAGAAGTAAGCTACGCCGGAAAAGATAAAATTTCAGGAAAGGTAAAATTTCAGACATTGTACTGCATGGTATGGTGGCGTAATGGTGGGGAGTATAAAACTTAATTAAACCAATGTCAAGGCTATTTTCAATTGAATTTCGGCTCCATTTCTCAGTCCTCAAATATATTGAATATTGAAATTTAAGCTCGCGACTACAAACAGTGCTAGATTGGTGCCAGAAAGACCCACAAGTACTGTCTCTGCGTACTCTGCTAAAGGGCTTTGAGCGACTGAGTTTTTACATAGGAACTTTTAGATGCCACGACGGCAACGACAACGAGAACGTCAAAAAAGCAATAGGTTGGATCGGAAAAACTACAACTGCACGTGCATCACGCTTTTTTGTACATTTCTTTTCCGTCACTGCACGACTGCGACGGGAAAATGCGTAAATTTAACGTTTTATGGAGGACGTAAACAAGCGACGGCTAAATTTTCTTTCTCTTTCTGAACTTGAAATTCGGCCGAGAGTTCGCTTGCATTTGACAAACAAAATGAGTTGGAGTTATCGCGACAGAGGCTAGATTGAAAGAATTCAAATTCACTTTTTAAGCGACGTGTTCGTGGCCGTCGCCTTCCGTGGTATCTTAAACTCCTTTATGGCAGGTAAGGTTGTACTTACCCGAATAGATTACAATTCTCCAACGATCGGCTGTAAAGCATTAAGGAACTAAAATAACTTTCAAAACCCTTACCTTTCTGTGTTTCTTCCTCATGTTCAGAGATTTTGCTTTAATTTGCTAAGCATTATTCTTTCCGGGAAAATAACCGGAAACTGTTCTTGGAAACACGGAAGTGACGTTTGCTTGAGACACCGCTGACAAATTTGAGCGGCTACACAGCTGAACGGACGCGTGTCACAAAAAAATGGTGTCGTTCGAAAGATGCAAGATGTAAATTCAATCACATGTAGAATTTTTATGGTCTGTTTTTTGACTCAATCATACTCACCTCATAGATTCATAAATTGTTTTGTGCGTTAAATAACAGATTTTTCGTGAAATGGATGATATATCTAGGTTATTTGGGTTAAGTTTTTGTATGCTTGTCGGGTGCTATGTTGCCGGTGCTATTCCGCTCGCCTTCACAATGTCTGAGGTAAAAATTCTGGATGTTTTTTATTTAATTCTTTTATGTGTCCTTGCTATATACGGTGGCTCTGTAATATGCTACTATGGTTTTTTTTTACCCAATTTATGTGACTCTCTGTATTGATGCTGAATTTCCTTAGTGATATTTGTGGCATGGTGAAATGGACAAACATATATTTGAACATCATTTTCTCAGTTCTAAACATATATTTCATAGAGATGTTGAGTGTGTAGTGTAGATCTTCTCAATACGTTAACAGCGTAATCAAATACATGACCTGGAAGTTATTTGTTTCAACATCTCGTGTTTTTTAAACCGTCGATAACATTTTTGCACTTAGTCAAAATTATCCATAATGTATGGAGGTACATGTAATTTAACTAATTTTATACAGTGAGACTTGGATATAATGATCCCCTACATAATGAATTATTCGGTAACATGAACGCTATTTTTTGTGCCAGTAATTAGTAATGGTAATAGGACTGAGTGCAGTCCAATTCCATCTGTAATCATACGAGTGATTAACAAAATTGGACAACCACATCGCGGGAGTCCGATTTCTTTAATCGTGAGTATGATTACTGACCGAATTGGGTGACACGAAGTACTGTTACCAATTAATCATAACTATAACAAAATTTGAAACACAAGAAATTCCGAGAGTTTTTTTTCTATGGCAGTGAAAAAAAGAGCCTTTTAAGTGCGCGCGTGTGATGGCGTGTACTGTCCAATCACTAAGGCATGACACGTACTGTTCTTTTACACTGTCCTAGTTTATTTGCTGAAATCAGGACAGCTGATAGCCAATCAGATTTGAGAATTTTGTTATAGTTATGACTAATGGTAAAATATATCGAAAAGAACCTCAATATGGTGCCTTGTCCTGGCATTGTAAGTTATATCAAGGTTCCATTGTACTTACCTAGCCAAAAATAGTCAGAGAAGCTTGCATCATGACCATGCTTGCATCTTTGTCGTGATATTTAGTTGTAATTGGTTTTCTATTCTATCGTAATGTCGGGAGCGACAGTGTATTGCTGTGTATCCCTTCAATAACTAAAGAAATGCACGGTAGTACATTATTTATTTTTAAATAGGCTTTAAGTAACATTTAATAATATTTTGATCTCATTTCAAAATCTCCCTTTGCTTTACAAGAAAACATAATTCTATTTGAATGGAGAATCTAGCAGTTTATCAGACTTAACTTGGGACTCTTTTGCACTGCTCCTTCTTACTTGTTTGTTTCATATCAAAGTATGAATTGAAAGGGAGAAATGTTAAAAAATGTGTCTATTTAAAAATGAGTTAATAATTACTAGTCTAAGATAAACATGCTTTAGTCTGAATTTTACTATTGCTTGTTTTTCCTGTTGTCTTAAACAGAAGCGATTGCGGATGATAAGTATACTTGGTGCTGGTCTTTTGGTAGGAACAGCACTTGCAGTCATTATTCCTGAGGGTGTTCATGCTTTGTATGAAGCACAGGAACATGGTAAGCTCCCTTTGCTAACCCAAACTTGAATTCCAGCAGATCCTTTGCGCAAGCAGCTGTCACATTTTGCTTGTTGTAGTTAATGATTTAGTTGGATTTGTCTTGCCTGGACCCTTGCCTTTGGGCAAGTGAGCTTTAAACGTTACTTGGCTGCCCAGTAAGAAAATCTACTCATCTCGGACTACTGAACAGGACTTTTTTCTAGCCCTGCAATTTCTTTCCTTTAGCAGAGCTGTCATTAAGAGCCAGGGGGCCGGGGATTTTCCCCGGCTACTATGAACATGGTCCCCAGCTACTTTCATCGGAAAACAGAAGAAAAATAGAACCAGAAGAAATCCCTAGCTGTTTGATTCCCTGCCTACTTATTATTTATTATTTCTACCTGGCAACTGGAAATCGTAGTGACAACCCTGCTTTAGTGAAGATCTGTATTTAGAATGTAGGAAAAAATGTTTCCTACGGCATAATATTGATACCTATTACCAAGGAGTCACTAAATTTTTTTTTTAGCTTTGCCAGATATGGCTGGACCACAACAGATTGCAACAATCACTGTTGGCCACTGTTGTTCCTTGAGTTTTACTCGTCTGACCATTTTGGCACTCACCTGGGTGAGCAGGCGAACGCCAATGTCCAACCCTGTGATTTAACTTATCATTTGTTCTCTCCTCTCTTTTATCTTTGACATTATTCTGCTTATTCATTTAAAATTGTTTCTGCAGTTAACTTTCATGTTTACTTATTTTTTTCCTTTAAAGGACACTCTTCCCACACCCACTCAGAAGACAAAGCTGCTGAAGCCTCTCATTCTCTGGAAGATACAAGCAAAGTTCATTCACACGTAGATCTTTTGAAGCATCAAATCTCTCAGGTTGAACCTGATGTATTTATAGGGCTTTCCTTGGTCTGTGGCTTTGTATTTATGCTTCTAATTGATCACATCAGTGGTGGTCATTCACATGCGCCCTCTGGATCACAAGGTACATGTAAATAAATTTTAAAGTGACTTAAATAATTTTAATAGTGTCCATGAAGGAGTTTCAACTGTATTGCAGTCTTGAGAGGCTCAATGAGAGGCTTCAGCAGCTGTATAAATAATTATTATTGAAGGGGTAGACACAAGTCCACCACTCGCCAAGAGTATTGAACTCATGATCACATGGTGAGTTACATGTGGTGTGTTGGGTGAGGATTGGAGGGGAGTTGGTTAGTGTGGCTTGGTATTTTCTGATATTTTCTTTTAATCTTCATTAAATACACTTTAATGGGGGAAAAAAGCTTCACCCATTACATCGTACATAATGTTGTCCTTTTTAGGGTCTACTTTAGACTCATTTACTTTTGCATATTTTATAGAGGAGCAGAAATTTAGTTTGGTGCTTTTGTGTGCTGGAACTTTGTCTTGTAACTGTTTATTTATTTATTTATTTTAATAAACTTCACCAAGAGGCCGGGATCACCCACAGAGCAAGCTCCTCTATGAGGTCAAGAAAAACTGTATACTGGTATATTGGGGTATTCCTCGGTCAAAACGTGCCTTAATATACCATTGACTCTTTTTTTTTGTATCACAGGTGGAGATCCAGAGAGCAATGGTAGACAGAGACATAGTAAAATCACTGCCACGGTTGGCTTGGTTGTCCATGCTGCTGGTAAGGGTACATGTTATTATTAATACAATTATAGTACTTTCACACTTTAACACCCCACTCAAACAGTCATCACAATCTGTATAATATCAGGTGGGCATCAAAAATGTTTCCTAACTCCTTTACCTATACTTTGTTAATGGTGTGACATAATTGTTAATAAACAGTAAGACTGTTATTTGTTGTTTTGCAGCGGATGGTGTGGCATTGGGAGCCGCTGTGTCTACATCCAAAACAGAAGTGGAAGTGATTGTATTTGTAGCAATCATGTTACATAAGGTGGACAATGATTTTTATTTTTATTATTATTTTATGTGCGGTAGAATTCCAAAAATAAGCCCCGGGACTTATATTTTTCAAAGGCCCTTTTTGAGGGGCTTATTTTTCGAGGGGCTTATATTCGGAGGGGCATCTACGGAGGGAAATTTGCGTTTCAAAATCTAATGGGCTAGCCTTATATTTGGAAGTAAATTGACGGTTTTTGCTTTGTCTTACTGTGTATTTGAGGGCAATTTTCCAAGTACAAGTCCCCGGGGGGCTTATATTTGCTTATTTAACGGAGGGTTTTTTTGCTTTCCCAGTTTGGGGGGCTTATATTTGGAGGGGCTTATACATGGAGGGCCTTATTTTCGGAATTTTATGGTATATATAAAAAAGAAAAACTTTTAGGTTACTGAATATCAACTATTAAATATTTGGTACTGGTAATTGTAATGGTTGAACATATTTTTTGTAGGCACCAGCTGCATTTGGTCTTTCAACGTTTCTTCTTCATGAAGTGAGTTTTAACATCATTTTCAATCTTTACTCTATCATGAATTTTGCCTTTCCTGTTTCTTTCTTTCCACATTACATGTACATGTCAAGGAATATTTATTCTTTATCAACTATAATCTTATGTTACACTTCCCTTTTTGTACGTATTCTAGCCCCCAAAAAATCACGCCTTCACTAACAATATTATTGATAATTATAATAGTTGTAGCTGGGCATTATCATTAAATTCAATGTTCTTTTTAAATATTAATAATAATGATGATTAATAATATTAATGGATTTAACCTCAGTTTCTTTAGATAAAATTCGTTTTTAGGTGAGTATAAATGAGATAAGTTTCCTTGTAACATAATTATCAAGGCTGTTCTCCAAGAAAAAAAAATTACATTGTAGATAGCCTTAACAAAATTATTTTCTAACAAGTTTTCTGGAGAGATGTGTGCTTTTTTAATTAGATCACCTCATGGCATGTTCCATTTGTACTCATTTATAGTATAAAACTGCAAGAAGCAAAAGTAATAAAGTTTCTTTGTCTTTTGTGTTTACTTTCAGGGATTGGTGAGGAATAGAATACGAAAACATCTTTTAGTGTTTGCAGCAGCAGCTCCAATAATGGCCCTACTGACATATTTTGGTCTAAGTCAGGTAATTATTCAACAATGTTACATTGTATTACATGTAGACAAGCCTCCAGAGGAATCATCTGTTTTGAAGAAAATGAGACATAAACTGCAGCAGCGGATAAACTTTCTACAACGGATCATTAGTAGCAAAGTCAAGTATTAGCTAACAGTATTTCTCGGGATTATTTCAAAGGCAGTTGTATCGTCAACAAATTTAATTCTAAGGTTCCAAGAATGCAGTAAATTATTTGTCATTATGATAAACAAGATCACTCCTAATTTTGTGCCTTGTGGTGTATCTCCCTTGGGCGATTTCCACTCAGAGAAGGTGTTCCCTATCCTCACCGCTTGGGTCCCACTTCTAAAAAATGCCTAGAAATGCTATGATCAATCATATCAAAACCATTTGAGTAATCAGCAGAAAAGAGCCTAACACCACAATTTTCCGTATCTGCTGCTTCATACACTGCCTGGAGTAGGTGTACCAATGCGTCAGCGGGGGGAATGTCCCGCACGCGCATATTGGCGAGGATCGATCTGGTGAGACACCTGTGCAATCAAACGGCACAGGTAAAACCCTCCAAAACCTTGCAAGGGTACACGTCAGAGCGATAGGCCGTAGATCGCTCTCAATCCACTGTGGTGATTAGCCTTCAGAGCATCAGGGAATTGAAGTAGCCCTCAAATAAAATCCTTAAAAACTGGTGCTAATTGCTGCACAAACTCTTGAATATTCTGTTTGGAATAAAGTCGGGGCCAATTTCTATTCGAGTTGTAACAGCAGAGAGAGAGAGAGAGCTTCCAAGTCATCACTCTCCCTTACCATAAACTCAGATGGTATGTCCTTGGGGGAGCATATTGAACAATCCGAGGGTGTAAATTGTGGGTTAACCCCTTTTTGCAAGGGAAAACATATCGGGACAATTTTGACCCAGAAACTGTTAAAACCAACCCTGCTTGATATCCCTTCCGGTCAACCATTTTATACGATTATTCTGGATTCTCAAGATCTTCAAGAATCAGATCTCAAGTCTCAAAACTGGTCATTTTTGTTTGAGACCAGAGTTGTAATTAGCCTGCGAGCCAGCTCTCCTATTTGGGCGAGCGAAGCAAGTCTCGCGAGAACGCGCGAGCGAGCGAGCGGCGAGCTTGCTCGCAGGCTAAGTTGTAATTCAGTCTCTTAACAGAACCCAGAGAGGAGACTGTCAGCTAGCCTGAGTAACAAGTGCATCTGGGGGAAAGGGGGAAGACACAAATGAAACTTAGGGGAGAAAGCGAAGAGAGAGAAAACTCCCCTTTCTCTTCCCCGCCCCCCCCCCCCCCCACCTTCGCCCTCTAAAATCTTCCCTCCCCTAACCCCTAAAAAAGGCCTGATACTCAGGCTGTCAGCTTACCTTTAAATGGTACTTTATGTATGACGACATTTTGGGTTACATGACCAGGCGAGGTATCTTCAGATAAAGTGATGTTTTTGAGAATTGACCAGGTATATTTCATGTATGACCAACACTATCAGTACAGCATGCTTAATATAATCCATCTGTCTCCTCTCAACAGAGCAGTAAAGAAGTCTTTTCAAGTGTAAACGGCACTGGCATTGCCATGTTGTTTTCAGCAGGGACATTCCTCTACGTTGCTACAGTTCATGTGCTACCTGAACTTCTAAGCATGAGTTCACAGTGTGACAATGGAACAGATCTAGGGGGCCGCTCTGGGGGAATGCAACGGACTGACTTATTCCTTATGGTGTTTGGAATAGTTTCGCCACTTCTTCTTTCCCAAACACACAGCCATGGCCATTGATGACCATGAATTAAATATATTTTTTGTGGATTTGAACATGCTATAGCCCTCTGAAGTGGATTCACGGATGGCATTTTAAAGTATACCCATTCATAAATACATTTTTGAGAAATTCTTACCAAGTGGTTCACCACGTATTAGGTGGCTCTAACATTCTTTGCTGTTGTTAGGGTAGTGTCCAAGTGCGGCGAACTAATGAAATATGCGTGGTTGTTTCCCAGTTTGTCGCCATGGTGCTGTTAAAATGCTACCCAAGGTAGTTATATAACTGACTAAACCTAATAGTCTGTCTCTCAAATGACAGCTACATAAACTGCGCAAAATTTCTTTAACTTCTTCAATAACATTTTTGCAAGGAAATAGAATAGAGCATCAAGTTGAACCCCTACAGCCACTCAGTGTACCTGTTCTCAGTGTACAGTGTAAATGTCAAGGTGACAATAATTCGATGCGCTTTAATTTCAAGTCAGTTCCAAAAAACTTCAAGTCGAGTATTTCCAATTAAAAAATAAAAAACAAAAGAAATTAACAAATGGCAATACTTATGATACAGAAAATACCTCGCGTGCTACGTATTTGAGCAGACACTTAAATATGTTTACACCTATTTACCTTTTTAAGTACAGTATGTAATCTCTCTTCCTCTGGCACGAAGTGTAATTGTAAACGAAAACTCTACAACTGTAAATGAAAAACATTCCGGCCCCAAAAACAGCAACCCTCGTTACCAGGGTTCTCTCCCACCCCATTAGGATCAAGTACTCCGGGAATGAGCTTGGCACAAGAGCCGGTATTCGTACAAACACGAAGCGGAAAGTACTGATACAATCGTTGAGCGAAGCATTCAACCAGCGATCCACGCGTACCACGTTTTTCTCGGCTAAGGCTTGTTGTACGGGGTAAACGATATTCAAATAATTTTCCTAGACGTACGTTGTTTGGACGGAAATCTTAAAAGGGACTTGAGTGATTTTTCTTAATTACATGAATATCGCTATATTGGTTGCCTGTATGTAACCTGCCAGCAGTGGTCAGAGTGGTTTCTCGTCCGGCATGGAGAAATCATTGCTCGTAGCTAGATATTCGTAGAGTGGCCTATATTATTATTAACTTTTAATATATCATAGCAAGACATTCATACTCGGGGCGAAGTTTTGAGAGAAGAAATATTTCGACCTCAACGCCACGTAAGTCGAATTAAATTGTCAAAGGTGTATTTATAAAACTGTTATAAAGTATGTAGTTTAATAAAAGGATTGGGTTCTAACTGCAATTTCGTAATTATAATTATACTGTAACTGAGGTGTGAGCATAGTCATGTCCAATGACTAAAGAATATTGAATAACAGAACCAATGATTTTGTTCAGGGCGTTTTCCATTTACCGAAAACCTTCGGAATCTTCGAGGGAATGGATAATTGGGTGAAGAACATGTTCCATTTGACATAAGTTCAATAGACTACGAGCAGTCTGCTTTTTTTTCTTAGTCAGTCGAGCGAAACGCGCGAGATGCTTAAATGGCTACACGCGTGACTGAAGGTATGAGAGGCCCTTTTTTCTCCTTGGCGCCTTAGTAAAATCTCCTCACTAAATGTGAAGCAGAAGAGAGACTCTCTCGCCAAAGTTCAAAATGGACAGATATCGCCGTGAATAGGCTGGAACTGGTGATTCTTTGTGAAAACTCGAAATGGACCATGCATTACCACCGAAAAACGGGGATTTTCTAGTTGAACTAGAGTTGTTGTTTATATTATTCCGTTTCGGTCCTCTTCGCAGTAAAGACAACGTTTCACAGCGAAACGTCCCTAGAGGCCTGGAGCGAGAAGAGACAGCTGTATTGGCAGGCTATAGTGGAACGTGTGTCATTTACATTCCAAACCAGGAGCCTATGACTGTTCGTTTCGCTGCCCTGTTTAAGACAAGACTGCATGGCCATATTTTATGATCCTGATTCGTTTCGTTTTGCACTGTCGACAGAAGGGGTCACAGATTTAGGAAATTTCTTAAACTAACATGGAACATTTAATAATAGTTTATATTTACCATGTTAGTCCAATATTCAATATTGAATAATTATAGAGGACTGCCCTTAAAAAAACAAGTAACAGAATAAACAAATATACAAAATAAGAAACTAATACACCATTTAAATAGCTTCCTTAAAAGACTCAAGCGATACTTGTCTTGGCAGTCTGTTCTGATTCCTGTCTGGATCTTGGAGAAAAGGAAAACTTATTATAACAATGGGCAATTTAAAAGCACGTGACCAGATTCATACTATGCATGTTGACCGCTCATCATCAGCCTTACACTGTTTCAAAGGTTTCCTGTCCAAAAACACGTCCTGTTTAAGATGCTAAAGATTGAAATTGTATAATACCTTGTTTAACCAAAACCCTAAGACCACACCCTGTTCAGCAGTGACCCACAATGAGAATCACGCCGAGCCTACAAATGACCTTGTTCCTTCATACCGTAGATTACGCGTGCTTTACACAAATGCTTGGCAGAACACTGCTTAATATACTACTGCTATGTTTTATTCAATCTATTGCTAAACAGACACCAAATTAAGTGTACGTGTATCATGCAAACTATTACGGAAGTTGTTGAGAAGTTGAATACATGTAAGATTACTAAGGCCAATCTTGCTCCATGTAAAAACAATATACAAGTTAATTTGAATGAGGTTTTCTGACGACGGGTGTGTACAGTCTTGAGGTTGCGGTTTATTTGCCAAAGTTTGAGAAGACGTGATAAGATTTACTTTGTTCAATTTAGATTTTTGATTAAGAAAGAGAAGGAATTAGAGCAACGAAGGAAAAAATGGACCAGTTTTCAAAATGTTTAAAAATCGATTTATTCCGAGTTAATTCTTACAAATCTTAAAAGCAAACCGACAGTGTGTCGTTTCTGGCATTTATTGTCAGGCTACATGTCGACATTCAGCTCATGAAAACAATTTTGAGAAAGAAAAACTAAAGGAACTGCACTCTGTCTCTACTATGCCAAGTAAAAGTAGCGTAAAAATTGATCTTCATTCTTATTAGATCATGATGATTCTAAACTCTTTTGTCTTTTTACAATTAAAATTAACATAGCAGCGAACGTAAACAGGAACTTTTTCTCCAAGAACTTTTTCTCCGCGCCAATATAACCATTTATGAATCATGACACTGCATATTATCTCTAAATCGGGAGGACATTAGTAAGCATGCATTGACAGGAAAATTGCTGAAACTGTATATCTCGCACGATATGTAACTTTTGAAGAGACCAGCCAGTGTCGAGCTCGCAGTTCGCAGCTTCCAGCAGCATCTTTCAGTGATACCAGTTTAACCAGATAGTCACTCGCAAAGTCAGATGTCATGAAGGTTCCGTGTGAGTCAGTGTTGAAGTCACTGTTGGTTTGTACAATTTGGTGTTCTTGGCTAAATGGCATTTCAGAAGCGGATCAAGGTGATTCATGTTTCTCCTATATTTTCATTTACTGGTTAGTAAACTTATAAGGCCAACAAGAACAACAACAACTTCATTGCACATCAATCAGATTAATGGGAATTAAAGTAGACCGAAAAGGAAAAAGGAGTATTTCTCGCAAAACACAGTTAGCTAAGCTAATCGAGGCGGAGGGTGAAGTAAGTGGAAAAGGAAGAAAAATTCAGATCACTCGTATTTTAGTTCCTATCAAGGTAATAAACACTTAATCATGAGCAGTATAGATCCATCAAGTTTTATCTTTTTAAAACGGAACAAAACTGTTTTTAGCCGTCTGTGAAGAATTCTTCTTTTAAAACAATGGATGTATATGGCTTCGGCCCACGGGTAAATTTGATGAACTCTTTCAGTTAGCGACTCTTTATTTTTGAAAAGAAGAAGAAGAAGAAGAAGAAGAAGAGTTTACTCAGCAGCAGCATGTTTTGATCTGCTGCATGTTCAAGGAAAGATTGCAGTGAAGCATCCGTACAAGTAAATTCCCAGGGCACTGCAGTCGGTTTTTTTTCTGGTGGAAGAGAATTAATCGAAGTCCATAGTTTTTGTACCGACAATTTCTGCCACTCATCCGTAAAAACTTTGCAATGATGTTTCTTATGTCCCCTTAACAATTAAGATTCATGAATCACCTTCGCGTTCCACTGAACAGGGTTTACATAAAATGAATACTTCAAGCCAGTTTGGTTTGATGAACGAAGGTAGTTCTGATCCGGTAGTAATGGTCAGATTTGATCAATGCTGTTGATGCAAGTTCGCCATGCCACCTCGGGTATTTGATTCAGACTACTCTCATCACGTTATATCACAGTAAAAAAAAACCGCGAGTCATAGTAGAACTTTTTTTCCAAGTTAGCCCAAACAATTTCTTACATAAATGGTAATTAGCACAATTTAGGTTCTTAAATAGGTTCTTGGTAGCTAAGACTTATTCCTTATATAAACTCAGCTTAGCAAATTAGTTTTTATGTAAAAATGGCTATAAGAAGAAAAACTGAAGCACTGATCACATGAAGTTTGAAGTCCCTTTGCCCAGGTGTACATAATTTGTTGTAGCTTTCGGAAAGTACTGATAAGAACTTGTTTAAAATTTTAGGTTTAATTAATAACAGGTTCTTGTATAGAGGGGGCCTAACTAGCAAATTTAAGCCTAACAGATTAAAAACCAGGTTCTTACGTGGCGACGGTTTTTACTCTATCACTATTTCTACTACTTTAACGTAACCGATTCCTGCATCGATCTTAAGTGTTAGTTATTTAGCCTGAGAACAGCCTCTCCGTTTGCGGAAAGGGTAAAAAAAATGGCGAGCAGAGGGAAGGGAAAGGGTGACAGAGCCTGTTCACAGGTTATTAATTATTAAGCTGTTATTTATTTTACTTACTCTTACTGGATTTTGCAATATTCATGCTCGAGCTATTTTTTCACTTAAAACTTTAAGAAAAACAATACTTATATTTTGATAAGTGTTGGTAAATCTTCTAAAACTGATAAGGAAGTGTTTCATACTAAGCATTGATGTCAAAGCATCAAAACGCAAGATAGTCAACATTATATGTTAATTTGAAAGGGAAAAACTCAAGTCAATAATAAAAAAACTCAGTTAATGCCTGACAATCACGTTAATGGGATATACAACATTATTTTGTTTTTATTATTTACTTATTTTATTCATTTGATTTTGATTCTGATTTTTTAGTGGGTTGCCGCCGTCTAAAGTTTGAACCACCTGTTCAAGGACGTCGTCTTAAGGGTCACGTGATTTCCAATCTTTCTATCGGTATTCATGGATCATGTCATCATTTCTGCGCCATGAAGAGGGACTGTGTGTCCGTTAACATTGGTTCAGACGTAAAAGACACAGTGGTGTGTGAACTGAATGATGCTGACGTCGTACAACACCCCCAAGATCTGAAGCCTGCACCTGGTTGGGCCTATAGAGGAACGGAGGCAAGAACTAGCCAGATTATAAGTTTAGATAAATTGTTGTAAATTAAAGAATGTCAAAGCAGTGTTGTTTTAAAGCTATGCTGGCCATGGCAAATGACGTTTATTGTTGTTCTTGTTAATGGTGACAATGATGATGATAAGGGCGTTGAGGATGATGATAATGAAACTTAAGGAAGTGGAGATGAGGTGAAGTGCTGTTTAAATAAGAGAAAGTTATGGCAATATGCTGGCAATGGCGTTTACGCCGTTGTCATTGTTAATGATGATGATGATGATCTTGGTGATGATGATGATGATGATGCTACGATGATGAGGCCGATAATGATATGAAGACCTTTACCTTATATGAATGAATATTGAAGGCCACTTGAATTGATAGGGTTGACTGTTACTGTTGGCGCGTGAATGGAAATGTATTTCAGTATGCTAGCTCACCGTTGTTGCCGTCCGTTTCATTGACCTTCTTAAAGATCATTAAAAGATGTGTTATTGTGACCGTGAGGGTAGACAAAAGTGCAAAAATGTAACTCTGTGCCCGGCTAGCTTTATAGAGGTCACAACAATGATATTTAAAAATGCAAATTGATGGTTGATTTCCCAAAAAGCGCAGTTGATCCACCCGAAAAGCGGCTTGGAATCGAGCCTAAGGTAACGTAATCGAGCCTAAGGTAACGTAAGCTAATCGGGTGCGCCCCCTTGGTGTTGGTATTAAGGAGATTTAATCCTAGCGTATTTTGTTCTCTTAGAATCCGTGTTCCAGTTACCCTTGCTTAAACAATGGCAGATGCCTGACAGGATACAGTGACAGCAAATATTTCTGTTTGTGCGAATCTGGATTTCAAGGGATAAACTGCCAAACTGGTAAAAAGAAGGCTCTAAAATGATAGTGTTATCGAATAATGTTAATGATGATATCTCCCCTCACTGCATGTTTAGGTCCCTCACCCCTCTCCCCTCTACCTTAGCTCCAATCAGCTTGGTAAATTTTCGTTTCTTTTTCCACCAGCTTTGTAAATTCAAAAGGTGATTTCAGTAGTGTGAAATGGTAATTGTTTGGTTCTGTTCTTAAATTTTCTGTTTTATTTACTATGAGTCTGGTTCTTTCGTGGAAATTATCACTAAGTTAGTTTACCTTGTAAGGCTGGTACTGAAACATTCCCTTACCATGGTATCCATGTACAGTGGAAGCTCCCATAACGGAAACTCTTGAAGCGGACAGCTCTACTTGAGGCCGCCATCGCAGAAACTCGTTTCATGATAGAAACTCTTTATTTTACATTCCGGTAGTGCGAACATTCCCGTGGGTGGCCGTAGATACTTTCAGGGTTTTGAAATTATACCAGTTTCAGAGTTTGTTTTTTCTTTTCACATACACGTCCGGTTAACCTTAAAAAAAGAAATTGAATTTTATGCTTGTACCTGAATTACAGCGTCGTCAGAACAACAGTATAGCCAAACGCAAACAAATAGTTTTTTTGCAATTCCCAGTATGGAAGTGGACAAGCTCTCGTAAGCAAACAACTAACTCGCCCTTACACCTCTTGTGGCGATATGTGAGACCAATTCTCGTAAGCGGCGAGCTTTACGAACACTGTTGGCTCCTTCTGCATGCACTTGAATTTAGTCGAAGCCACGTGACCAAGAATCAATCAATCTGTTTTAATTTAATATATTTTAGTGAAAGCCTAAATAAGGATTGGCATTGTATGTGCTTTTAAAGCTTTCTCTTCTTATGAATAATGAAGCCCTGCGATCTTTGTTCACGATAATTCTATACTGGTTTTTGTCTTTTTTAGACATAAATGAATGCCAAGACGACAGCCACGACTGTGATAAGAATGCAAACTGTACAAACACGGTTGGCTCCTTCACTTGCAGCTGTAATCCTGGATTTTTTGGAAATGGAAGTTCATGCACAGGTACCTAAAAATGAAAAAGGTGTACGATGAAATGTGGGTTTGCAACTGATGTTATCTGTAAAGGTCTGTTAATATAGTGCTCATCGTTGTCATTGTTGTCTCGTGTTTAGACATCGATGAATGTGAGGACGATAGCGACCATAATTGTGACGTGAACGCTACGTGTTCAAACACTGCTGGTTCCTTCAGTTGTACCTGTAATCCTGGATTTTTTGGAAATGGAAGATCATGCACAGGTAAACAAATAAAATCATGTACAATTAAGCAAGAAGTACTCAACTGACTGATTAGCCACCAAAATGAATTTACTATTTTTTCTCCAAACTAATCAACACTATTTGTTGTATTAATTTGGTCTTGTTCTTGCCTTTTTTGTTTGCTTTTTACGTTTTAACCGATTCAGTCTGCTGCAATAATTTTTAATTTAGCCATCCAATACAATTTTTTTATGGATTCTTTCATGCTAATGCTTTGTTGAAGATATCGATGAATGTAAAGACGAAAGCCATAACTGCGATGAAAATGCAAACTGTACAAACACTTATGGCTCCTTCAATTGTAGCTGTAATCCTGGATTTCTTGGAAATGGACAGTCATGCACAGGTATCTGAAAATGAAAAAGGCGTACGATGAAATGTGGGTTTGGAACTGATCTTATCTGTAAAGGTCTGTTAATATAGTGCTCATCGACTTGTTGTTGTCTCGTGTTTAGACATCGATAAATGTGAGGACGATAGCGGCCATAATTGTGATGTAAACGAAAAATTGTTCAAACAGTGCTGGTTCCAAGGTTGGGGGAGAGACGAGGTCTGGGACCGAGAAACGATGCTCTCACAATTTGCAAAGCGGTCACCCCGTGTGGTGGTCAGCGGATAATTGCAGTATTTTTCCCACAGTAAATATTTTTAGACTTTTTAGAAGCAAGAAGCAAACCGGCAGAGGAAATCAGAAATGCTCAAAAAATTGAAAAAAATAATATCATGCATCTTTGTTTTTCTTTCATATCGTATTTGTCTTTCGGTACTGAAATTGCGGGGGAAACCGTGTTAGATCTTAACCAACAACAATGCTCTCGCTCGATTTATAGCTTACATCGTTTTGGCCGGGTAAGGATAACTTGATGCTGATAAAAATTACTGGAGAAAGTGTCAAATTCATCGGAAGCAAGTATATTCAGAGAGCTTTATGTTATAAATATGAGCTTACAGCTCTACAATCATAACTAAATAAACATTCAGACTTCATAACATTTCACTTCGTTTATTACGATCAGTCAACAGCTTGAATCCAAAGTTAAAATTCAAAAGGATCCTAATAAACAAATCACAACAACTACTGAAAGCTCTGTACCTTGAAGCGACTTTAACGTTCCTAAGGTTTGCAGCAAAACGCTGCTCGATAGCTCAACTCTTCGGCGGTTCTTATCAGCTGTACGGAACTATATGTTGCATAATCCAAACGCTGCAGAGAGAAGTTGTTTAACAGAAAAAGGTAACCACAGACTATGTCTGAAAAGCGACATGAAATCAATAAATTTACTAATTACCAAAATATAATAGTGAGAAACAGTCCCGCCTTTGACCACCATGTTTTTCTTTCTTCTCAACACCATTGATCTATGGATTTTTGACGTAATGCGCATGATCAGTGCTAAAATCCGCTGACACTTGCTGATCGCCTTGCAAGTTGTGAGAGCATCGCTTGGATTTCATTTAAGAGAATGTATGGGAAGTAGCTTTCCCCCCAACCCCTGGCTGGTTCCTTCAGTTGTTCCTGTAATCCTGGATTTTTTTTACAGATTAGCCACTAAAATGTCAATTTACTATTTTTTTCTCCAAACTAATCAACACTATTTGTTGTATTAATTTGGTCTTGTTCTTGTTTTTTTTGTTTGCTTTTTACGTTTTCAACCGATTCAATCTGCTGCAATAATTTTTAATTTAGCCATCCAATGCAATTTTTTTAATGGATTCTTTCATGCTAATGCTTTGTTGAAGATATCGATGAATGTAAAGACGAAAGCCATAACTGCGATGAAAATGCAGACTGTACAAACATTTATGGCTCCTTCAATTGTGGCTGTAATCCTGGATTTCTTGGAAATGGAAGTTCATGCACAGGTACCTAAAAATGAAAAAGGTGTACGATGAAATGCGGGTTTGCAACTGATGTTATCTGTAAAGGTCTGTTAATATAGTGCTCATCGACTTGTTGTTGTCACGTGTTTAGACATCGATGAATGTGGGGACGATAGCGGCCATAATTGTGACGTGAACGCAAAATTGTTAAAACACTGCTGGTTCCTTCAGTTGTACCTATAATCCTGGATTTTTTTGACTGATTAGCCACCAAAATGTCAATTTACTATTTTTTCTCCAAACTAATCAACACTATTTGTTGTTTTAATTGGTCTTGTTCTTGTTTGTTTTTGTTTGCTTTTTACGTTTTTAACCGATTCAGTCAGCTGCAATAATTTTTAATTTAGCCATCCAATGCAATTTTTTTATGGATTCTTTCATGCTAATGCTTTGTTGAAGATATCGATGAATGTAAAGACGAAAGCCATAACTGCGATGAAAATGCAAACTGTACAAACACTTACGGCTCCTTCAATTGTAGCTGTAATCCTGGATTTCTTGGAAATGGACAGTCATGCACAGGTAAGTAATTCAAAAGAATTTTTACATGAAACAGAATGTACGATTAAACACAGCTTGGAACTGTTGACTTGTCAACCAGCCACTAAGATATATTATGTTAACCCTCGGACGTACAATGGGACGGGGGGTGTTTGCCACACCCCCTACGGTTTTTCTGATTTTTTTTCCTAGACGATAAGACATCAGCACCTGAAGTTTGGTTTATCCTTCCCGCGCATTTTGAGATAAGTTTAGCGACGGTCAGTTACTATGGTTACGAGATATGACGTCATAAGTAGCAGGTAGTCAAGTCATTTTTGACTGAAAATGCAACTTTTTTCAACGGTAAAAGTAAAACTTGTGAATAAAATGATGCAAAGCGCAAAAAATTATTAATTCTCAATGTTTTTACTTAATTTCTAATTCTTGATAAAATCCAACATGGCAGACAAGATGGCGACCATGTTTGGTGACGTCACAGACCACCGGCAGCCCCACCACCCATGAAACATACCTTTGAATCATGATACACGAGAAGCTGGGGATATTGCTACCTTTAAGAAGCTTATAAAGGGGAGAAGGGGGGGGGGGGGGGAAGGGAGGCTTGCTTATTTCTTATTTATATTTAGTAGTTTTAGCATGACTCTCACCTGTTAATAATCCCAAACTGTATGTTCAGGTATTGTTGGATTTTCTTTGTTTAACTGGTTTTTGTTTGTTTGTTTTGTTTTTGTTTACATGTATATTCATTCATTTAAAAGGCTTTCCACTGCAGGCAAAATCGCTGCGAAATACTGCAACATATCAAAAACTCAAGGGGGGGTCAACATCATCCATGGTGGGGGTATGACTTTGCTTGTACGTCCGAGGCTTAAAAACCGATATTTTGAATAACAGTCCCTCACCAAAATATGTAGTAACTATTTTTTGTTTATCAAGTGCCCTGTCAGCACTAGTTATTTTATTTTGTTTTGCTTTTATTAGTCCTTTTGATGAACACTTTTTGTAACTTTCCTAAATATTAAATTTATCAGTCAAATTCCTCTGCTGTCCCTGTACAAGACAACCTTGGTTTTTTACTGATGGTTTTTGCACTCTGTTTCGTTGTTAAGTAGTAGATCGACGTATAATGTAGTACGATTGTTAGTTTATGTTTCTTACGGAATTGTTGTTTGGTGTTTAGACATCGATGAATGTAAAGATGGCAGCCATAATTTTGATAAGAAAGCAATTCAAACTGTAAAAACACTGCTGGTTCCTTCCGGCAACTGCAGCTGTAAACAAATTTAGGTTTGATTGCAGCTCATTTGATTTTTCTTTAAAAAAGAACCAACACACTTTGTGTTTATGGACCGTTAATGTTAATGTAGTAGTGTTCGATTTTATCGCGCGATTTGTAGGGCGACAAGAAGAGCTGTGATTTGGCTTCAACTCCAGTACATATACTGAGCCGTGTAAACGTACGGCCTGCGATTTTTCATCAAAGCTTTGTTATCGTTATCGTTATCATCATCATCAGCATTATTGTTAGTACTGGTCTTACGCCATGATTAAAAAAGCGACGTATTTCTTTCAAGGAATGCTTTCTTTTAATGTGTAATAAATGTTTCCTTTTTCAGCTGTAAAGTCTTGCCAGGAGGTGTACGCTTTTGATTCTGAGGAGTAAGTCACATTCTCAAACTTTTTCATGTGTGCAAATTGAGTAAGCCTTGTTCCTCGTTTTCTTGTTTACTCGGGGATGCGCGTAGCAACTTCCCTCAAGTATATATTGTACGTGGACTCTTCAATATGCAGATGTGTCATTCTTTCACCAAGACATAGACGCTCTTTGGTCCCCAACTCGAGAGCGCCCGATATAAACTTTCAAAATGGCAACTCTCGTACAAATCGATGGTTCTCGAACTAAAGTGAGAAGTTTTAAAAAAACATGTTTTGCTCTTCCTTGACAGCTGTAATTAAATTGATCATTTTGATCAAAGCCAATAAGATCATAGCTCTTTCGGCATCAAACGTTTTAGTGTGAACAGCCGAAAACGCATCAAAACAGTAGTGTGGACGTGAATCGATAAATGTGCTTTCAATGACAACCAGAATGTATACTTCTGAAAAGGCGTACAGCCCCTTAGCAAAAACAGAGCGAGATGAGGGAAATTGTAAAACTTCTGCTAACCCTATGTTCATAAAACACTGAAAAAACCAGGTAAATATATATGTATACAAAATCACTATTTATTCAAAATATTTCTCCGTTTCCAATTGGCTCAAATCCCCCTGCTAATTTTTCATAACGCGTTGACCAAATGGCATCAATGGCCTTCTGTACCTTTCACGTTCCCAACTAATGCAATTTGGTTTCCCACAAAACTTGTTTGTTTCCAAAATATTATTTCTCAAGGGACGATAGGGGGGCCGGGCCCCACGGGCCCCTCCCCTAGATCCGCCACTGCTCCTCGATCTGCTTATTTTAATTCTTCATATCATATTCAGCCCCATCCGATAATTGCTAATTATCCGGCTACCCTTTAGTGCATATAGGTGATTCAATGGCTTTCTCAGGCATACAGCTTAACTAAAATCTACTTTTTTCGTACAGGTTCAACGTTAGTAAGGAGGTTACGATCTTGCTTGACTCTAAACCAACTGCCGTGTTTTGTCACTTTGGAAATTTTGACTGTGGAAATGGGGGATGGACTCCGATCATAAAGATGGACGGCGAAAAGGTGGAACATTACTTACTGAATACTATAATTTCCGCAACTAATATATGCTCTCTAGACTAGTACGAGTGCGGCTTAAGAATTTCAAGAAGTCTGTTGAAGGACAAACACGACAGAGGCCCCGGTGATGCACAGACTGGCCAGGCGCTTTATCAGCCACGAGGAACCGCATAACAACAGAGCATTAATTGTCAGCCATGTTTTCTACTTTTTCATTTTATTTTCACAAGAAAGGTGCTATAAAAAAATTTCCAAATTCTTGATTGATAAGCAAAGCAATAAGCAAAGAAAAGTAATGTATTGAACTTCCTGGCAGGCTTACAAAAGGGTTAACTAAACGTTTACCACAATGCATCGCGCGCAGGGTCTGAATCATGCATCATTTTTCACTGAAGCAAACTTCATTGGAAAAGATGCATACATGGTTTCAAGAGAATTAATGGGGGAAAAGTTGGACGGTAATTTCAAATATAAGCTCCAGCTCAGTTTTATATCAGTTTTTAAATTAGTTGATTAATTCACTAAGGAGTTAAAATTCTTTCACAGCAAACTTTTCGTTACGATGCCAACATCTGGAACGATAAAGAAGTCTTAAACCTTGGCGGAGGGAAGACTGGTTTCGACTCACAGGAGACCAAACTTCCGTCCTACTGGAACACATCCTTCTCCAAGATCTGCCTCGGCATGAAGATCAACGACCAGATCAATTTTATTGTTATCGACAAGCAGGCGAAGTCCTTGTACTCTCTGATCGCTGATGGGAAATACCGCAGCACCTCACTGGGTCGTAACAAGTGGATGTCGCTGATTGGTTCTAAAGCCTCATTGCAGTGGAACTGTAACAAGGAAGGGTTCAACGCAAAGTGTACCTCCAGTGGCCTTTCCAGAACAAGAATCGGTATTCTCGGCAACAATCAAAATGATTGCCGTACATGTAACTCCAGATTGGGGTTTGGGAGCGAAGGGAACTTCGATGATAGGCGGAATACATGTGGAAATTTGGATAATCAGAAGGACAAAGGACTGAGCATCAAGGCAATGGGGTATATCCTGGTGCAGTGAGAACAAAGCTACAGCAAAACAAGATGTTTTATGAATGGAAATATATGAAATGACTCATATTTTGAACTACGGATAAGGATATAAAAGTGAAAATGATCATCGCAGTTGAATGAACAACCGTTAAGGTTGTTTCGTATTCAATAACCTGCTCTACAGATTGGCTTGATTAGCATAATGGATAGAGCGTTGCGTCCAGTCATTGAAAAGGTCAGGCCGGTTCGATTCCCGGTCAAACCTGAATTTTTTCAGGTTCTTTTTCAACCGCTTAGGCTGTTTATTCAACTGTGAGGATCATTTCACTTTCATAAAATATGTTTGATTTGCTTTTGCATATTTTTGAGGGAGTAGCGGGAACATATTATACGCCGTCCCTTTAAACTCATTGTTACGCTGATGATCACGAGTAGAAGTACGTTAAGTTACAAGTGTTCGAAAATAACCTAACCTGAACGTTTCTCAATGAATGAAAGTTACTTAAAAAGGAAGAACTGTATATGTATGTCGATCGCTAATTATATTATTCGGGAGATCTCTCAAATGTTTTGAAAAGGGACAAAGAGGTTTACCAAAATTTTTGACAGACGAAAGGGGGGGGGGGGTTGCTAATTTTTTTTTTAAAAGAGGACCATCCTTGACCATCCTAGCTTATTTGCATTATAAATACACTCTTTACAGGACTTTCATCACTGGAATGTCGTAAAGTGCTTAGTAACCTCTCCATTTTTACCATCATCATCGCCATCATCATCATCATAGGCAGCATTAACAACATCATCGTTCCCTTCATCATGATCATCATCAACAACAACAACATAAACAACATTATCAACACTTTGCTTCTGTAAATTATAAATAGCACAATCTACATGCTCAAGAGCATCCCCGCCAAAGGTATTCAGTTCCCTCGGTTGCCTAAGTTCTTTGACATGGAATTTGGGCCTCAGAAATTAAAGTAGTGTGCCTGTTGGGGAAATGAGACCACGCTCCTCCCCCCAACAGATCTCTTCTCGGAGAGGACCAAGAGCTAGAGCGGCCGAAATCGTCTCTCCACCATTTCATTATATTGCCTATATTTTACTTTCCTAGTCAAGATTGGTGGTGTGGGAGGGAGGGGGGTTGCCATTTTTTTCTTTTGGTCAAGAGAGGGGGGGGGGACGGGGGTACTGTCAAAAAATTATGTATGATGTGGGGGGATATTCAAAAATTTTGCCCCTTAAAAAAATATCCTCTGCCCCACGAAAACGGTTTAGTAAAAGTCATGTTTATAAACAGAACCAATTTTCTTTTCGCCACCAAAAAGGTACATGTTATCTCCAGTCTTTGTCGCCTTTAAACTTTTCTATTAATCATTTCTTAAATTTAACGTAGCTAATTTTTACATTTTCTTTCAGTCGGAGAAATAAACTTCGCGTGTTGTTTTTAAATCACTAAAATCGCGAGAATTTAGTTCAGCGAAAATTCTTGCAAATAAGATAACTTATTCAGCCACTTATCGCGACTAGCTTTTGCTAATTCCAAGTGCCTGTGCTTTCTTTTTTGCTAATTGTTAACCTGTAAGGTTACTTCTCTGTCTGTACCAAGAGCACTGATAAAGATTGATTG